TTGCCTTTTTGATCCTTCATCGATCGGCTGGCAAGGGCATCCCCCTTTCATGATGGTATTAGCCATTTGAAATTCTCGTTCTTGGCCAGGTCTGATGACTGGTGCCTGGCGACGGCTGATGTTGCCGCTGCTGCCCCTGGTTGCAGTTGCAAGAGTCGCCATCGCAGCCGCTGGTTCGTTGGTTCGTTCATTTGCTGGCTATACTATATATATGTTGCTATTTTTTTTGTCTTCTTATTTTCCATCAGCGACGCCGTCTTGCCTGTGGTACTGAGCCAGCCAAGCCAGCCAAGCCATCCAAGCCAAGTCAAGCCAAACCGAACCGAGCCAGGCCAACCAACGCCATCGCATGCTTCACCTTCGCCCCACCGCACACACAGATACACACGCACACACACTCGGGCACTTTGTGTGGCGGCTGCCTTCCCCATTCAGACCACTCCGCTCGCTCCCCACCGATTCCCCTTTGGGCCACCACCACTGCTGCTGCTGCTGCTGGAGTTTCTTGTTTTCTTTCAGGCAACCCGGCCCCCTTCCACTCATCAACCTTCTGCCTTCTGCCACATCCCACACCCCACACACCCCACTCCCCATTTCCCCATCAGCCATCACCCATTCCCACTCCCCTTCCCCTCCCCCCAAACAGCCAACAGAGCCCAATGCTCTGGCTCTTTGCCTTGTCGTAATTTTACTTGGATTTTTTCCGTTCGCTCGCTCGTTCGCTGGCTGGTTTTCTTTTTCTTTTTATTTTCCTTTCAGCGCGCTGCTTTCTGCGCCGCCTGCGACTCGGTTTCGAAATAAACTTTAATGCGAGCCATTCGTTCGCTTTTCGGTTTTTGGGGTCTCAGTTTCTCAGTTTCTGCTGCTCTGTTAAATTTTCTGCTTGAATTTTGTGCGCAGTCAGCTCGCGATGCAGTTCGAGGCGGTGACTCGATTGGGGCTGCTCGCGGGTTGCTTTAGGGCCAGCTGGAGTTGGCCAACTGCCTGGGCTTGATTGAATGGGAGATCCTTCATCTAGGGGTTAAACGTTGGGCGGATTTCTTACTTGTTCTTTAAAGCGAAATTAAATTTTGGTTCTGATTTTGAATAAGGTATTTCAAATGACTAAGTAATATCTTAAGGGTGCACCTAGGAATGTTGACAAACTTTTTCTAATAAAAAGTTGAAGAGAAGTCTCTAAGTTGTTGAATATTTTAAAGGTGTTTATTGGTTAATGATTCTTCTTGATCTTAATTATTTTTGAACATAAAAATATACAAAATATTGCTTAAGAATGCAATTGTTTCGCATTTGGTTAACCTTTAGAAAGGTACTCTTTAAATAGTTATTGTAAACTTTTCTACTAATCTGAAACAAACAAGTTACGTAAAATAACCATTGATTTCCGGACTAAAACTTTTCTTGTTAGTTCCCACATATAACAGATATTGCATTCTTAAAGATCTCTCTTTAAAGGACCCCCTTTCCACTTGAGTTTAGTTTAAGGACTTCAGTCGAGGAGCTCGACTCCTTTTGCGCAGTCTCGCACTGGGCAGCAACATCGGCAGTGACAGCGGCAACATTGCAAGTTGCCGGAATGCTGCTGCCGTTTATAGTTTCACTATAAGGCGCACATATGAATTTTGCCATCGCTCGCTTTTTGGCACGCAAACGCACACAGCGCACATCGCACAGCACAGGCAAACGGCTAAAGAGCCATAGAGCCAAACAACCAACCCAGTCGGCCAGTCAGCCAGCCAGCCAGCCAGCCAGCTAGCGAACGTCCTCGACAAGCCCAGTCAGCCAGGCCAACGGCAACGGCAGCGGCAACGGCAACATCATCAACAACAACAGAAGCGGCGGCAGCAGCAACCACTTCAGTGCCTCGAAACCCGCCAACCAAAAGCCCCCCCCTTCGTCCCCCTTCGACCCACCAACCCGCTGCCAACCGCCATGGCGTACAATCTGAAAATATAGAAAAAGCAGCGACATTTGGGACGTTCGCTCGTTCGTTCGTTGGTTCGCCTGGTACGTTCCGTCGTCATTCGCTTTTTGTTGGTATCGCTGCGGAACGCTCAGAGCCGGAGCCCCAAACACCAGATACAGATACGAGCGCACACACTCGGCTACAGATACAGATACAGATACACGGACTCAGTGCCGGGGCAGCAACAACGGCAACAACAGCAGCAACAACAGCAGCAACAACAGCAGCAGCAACCTCCTATATGAGTGCGCCCGTACATATACGAATGTATATTTATATAGAGTCGCAGCAACACGCGCACTGGATTCAACGACGGCCACAATGCTCTGCTTCTTCCTTGGCTACGGCTGCAGATATAGATACGGACGGAGGGTCAGAAAACGAATATAGGGTTGGATCTTGTTAGGGGAAAATGGTTTTTAGGGATATTCCACCAAAGGGATCTTTGGGGCTTTAAAAATCCATGAGCTCAAATACTCAACTAAAAATTGTTTTTATTTTTCAAAAAATGAGATCTTAGAATAACTTTTTTTAAAAATCGAATTATTTAAGTTTTTGAGATAAAAATCTGTTGTACATATTTTCCGTTATTAAAGATCACTTTTCAAATTGTTCATTTTTTTTTTTAACATTTTATGGATTAACATATAACATGAATTTAAAATGCATATTCCGTCAAACAAAAAAATTATAAATATAAGATCTTGAGAACATAGATCTTTAAAATACAAGTGAGTCCCAGATAAAAAATGGTTATTATTAAAAGTCATTATTATAGGGTAATACAATAGGATTGAACCTTTTTTAAACTAGTCATAAAATGGTGGTAAGTTTGGAAATGTTGAAAGCAGAAATCTAAAAATAAAACTCTCTTATAATATATTATATATACTTATCTGAAGCGCCCAAAAATCAGGCATTTTCTCCAAAGAGTGTCTCTTATCCTATTTTTAAAATAAACTGTAATTGTAATTGCAGAAAGCAGAAAAAGATAAGCTTTTTAATAAGAGTAAACCTTCTTGATACTGTCGGTATTTATTTAAAACCTGCCTGGAAATCAGAATTTTCTTCAGTATTATATAGCGATATGGCCAATAAGTCGGAACTGGCTGAGCTGGCCGCGGTATCGCCGCAGCATTTGTATGAGCTACCCAGAATTGCTCGAGTGACGCAGATGGCAAGCAGTTCCGAGACTCTCGTTGGCAATATGATGTTCTTGGGGCAGCGACTTCGAAGTGGACTGTCGTCATCGCCTGAGCTGAATTTGAATGCAAAGTCGAGAGTTGTTGTTTTTGTAGTTGCTGCTGATGTTGCTCTTGTTGTTGCTGCTGTTGTTGGTTTGGCAATTGGTGTTGCAGTATCGGCTCAAGAGCAATGCGAGTATAAAAATGGTGATTCTGTTCTTCCGCTTCGCTTCGGGGACGCCTCTCGGGTGTCCAGGTTTTTATTAGCACCCGACTAACGGACACTTGTCCGCTCGCTCTTCCTCTTCCTCATTAGCAAGTTTAATCAGAACTTTTCAAATACTGCGTTTGTTATTGATTATTATTGATTTATAATTGTATTTTAACAGCAAAAATATTGAAGTAAATATCCATACTCTTAGTAGTTAAGAAATATTCTAAAATTTTCTTGTTAAAATTCTTCCTTTTTTTATTTAAAAGTCCTTTAAACAACGCAATCTCTTAATGTACTCGTTTTTAATCTACAAATTACCCTTTGGTTAAAAAAAAAAACTCACTGAAATACCTCGATTGAAAAATATAGCTGATATTGTTATTGTATTTAAAGGCACTTTTTATGTTTTTATTCAAATGTTCACTGTGGCGCCCCAAAAAGTTTGTTGTTTATATGCAGAACTAAGAGGCGCCCTCATTTGGTGAAAATGCGCAGTACGCAAATCTAGTTAGTTTGCACAAAATTCCACAAGAGGACGTTGCTTGTAAAGAACAGCTGATTCCACAAACTATCCAGCACGAGATTGTCGTTTACCAACACTAGGTTCAGGAACTTCGTAGTTTTTTGATCAACAACAAAACCTTTGTTAAATAATGATGCAACACACAAAGCGCATGGTAAGTTTAATAATTAAACTATATTTAATGCTTAGTATTGTAATCTTTTGTGAAATCTAGCTTACTCCGTTGATGAGCGGCCTGCGAAATTTGCCGGCACGCGGTGCAACAACCACGACGGCGACGGCGCCCGCCAAAATTGAAAAAAGTAAGTAGTTCTCTGAAGATAGTTGTGAAATCCAATTAAATGTTAACTTAATAAATACAGCTGTTAACACGGTTACCATATTGGGTCGAGTTGGAGCCGATCCGCAGCTGCGTGGATCGCAGGAGCACCCGGTTGTCACCTTTTCCGTCGCCACACACACAAACTACAAGTGAGTACCGAAGTGCAAGAGTGTGTGTGCGAGGAACAGCATGTGCTCTCAATTGAACTTGAATTTTAATCTCAAAGGAGGCAACACAGTCCTGGTCATAAATATAGCCTCAAAAATGTTTTCATAGTTATGTATATGACATAACTATAAACAAAAATGACATTGTAGTAATATTTCTAAATTTAATGTAAAAGAAACAGCTTTATTTCATTGACAATTTAATTTTTTTCACCGGACTACAATGTCCTTTTCTTGCATAAATTAAAAATATAACTGTTGATTAAATAGTTCAAACATTTACATGCCCATTGAAAGAATAAGAGAAGAAAAGATATATGAAATAATGTACAATATTTTCCTACAGGTACGAGAATGGCGACTGGGCCCAGCGCACCGACTGGCATCGCGTGGTGGTGTTCAAGCCCAACCTGCGCGACACCGTGCTGGAGTACCTGAAGAAGGGACAGCGCACCATGGTGCAGGGAAAGATCACCTACGGGGAGATCACCGACCAGCAGGGCAACCAGAAGACCAGCACCAGCATCATAGCCGATGACGTGCTCTTCTTCCGCGATGCCAACAACTAGAATCTAAGCTAAAAAGACCAAACCTAATCTTAAGCACAAAGTTGAACTCGCAGCATTGTAAGCATTTTTAAGATTCGTATGGATATATTATGTTATCAGTTGTCGGATTACATGCCTAGTTGTATCTCACAAACGTCCTTGGGCTTTGATTTTTCGTTTCCTTTGCGAAGGAGGTTTTGTACTTCCAACTTTTTACTTAGCTGATCGAACTCCTTTTGCACCTTTGTAACCTGGCTTTGCAGGTTTACAATATGCTTCTCCAGAGATTCGAGGGTGCTGTTGTGGTAATCGATGATTTTCTTGACCTGAGATTGCGTTTATTAAATGAGATGTACATTTGTAAATCATATTTTCATACCACATTTGCAGGCGCTACTTTCTCAGCCGCTTCTTTGCCGTACATCATGATCTGATCCCTCATTTGGTTGCACTGAGATGCTGTTTGTTCGGTGGAAAGGAGCAGACCTAACAAATCTTCGTAGGTGGCACGAACCAAAGGATGCACGCGGCAAGTTTTCCTATCAGCACTGGGACATCTTTTCTCCAATCGAGTAACTGCCTTCTCCGCTTCGAGCAAGTTTGTTTCGTTCTCATTCAGCTCCATTTCCAGCTTAAGCATGGAGCGGTTTACCGAGCCAAGGAATTGGTTCACCGACAGTAACTGGTGGTTAAAAGATGCTAATTATTATTCTATAATTAGTGCTTTAACTCCTCACATTTTTGCCATTGTCTAGAACCTTTTGCTCCTGCTCCTTGATGAACTGCATCTTGGTATTAAAATCGGACTCCATTTCAAGGGTGTCATGCATTAAAACATCGGCCAGCATATCCAAATACAGAAACGCCGACGGATCTGAAAGGTTTGTTTTACTCATAATTTAGTTCTGTTTAGAAGGTAGTCGTATTTTGTATTTGTTTTTCGAATATGTTTACTACAAAATTTGGTTCGAGCGAGGTTTGGGGGATAAACCAATGCTTGCTCGTTTGATTTTAAAGTTGAATATGCACTACGGAAAAAATCACAAGCTAACCAAATGTTTAATTATACTCTAAAAATTTTGGAAGTATAGTTCCAAGTAAGGTAAGAGTTTCAGTAAGAGGGTTGCGATCGAGTGTCAGGGAGTTACCATCCACCAGAGACAGCTTATTTGCTACCAACAGTGGAGACCCACTCGAGAGCCGCGATCCACAAGCTCTCTTCGCACATGTGAGCTTGGAGCCACCTTATCGCCATTTACCAGCCGATGTGTGTGTGTTATTCAGCCAGAGCTCCATGGGCCATGCGATTCGATTTCTCGCTGAGCGGGACAGTTCGCAGTTAGCATTTTGCCAGTTCAAATGCTGCCGGCGGTCGGAAGAGTTGATAGCTGATCGAGCGCAACGTCCGCGATTCATTTTCATTCAAGCACGTTGTTTGTCCCGGATTCTCCTCCGTCTTCGCGATCCGTAACTATCAGTGTTCAGTCTTCACTCCCTCGGAAGATGAAGAATTGCTAAAAGGCCATATCACAAGAACTACCATTTAATATTCACTAATAAGGTCAACAATAAATAGCAAACATGGCTGTGGATTATGTGTTGGAGGAGCTCATGGGAAAACTAGGTGAGTTGATTGTGTTGGGAGTGAAGACTTTTAACAAAAGGTCAGCTGTTACGTTGCCAGGCGTCTCCATCCCATGCTGATAAGAACTTGTATTACGCTTATCATTTTGAGTGGTCTTATCAGCACTGCAAGCGGCTATGGATAATATTTGATTTTAGCCGGCGGTATTCGGTTTATCACCACCGTTCTGCCCTGCATTCAAATTTCGTAATTAATTTTTTTTCGGTATTTCGTTTGAATCTCCGCCTAATCTATCCAGCTGGCTGTCTGTCAAGTGCTCAAAAGAAGCCGCCCCTAATACAGTTTTAATTACAACTATTTTTGCTTTCGGTTTTCGCACTATTTCTAATTTAATAAATCCTCAAGGCCGCGGCAACTGGCTGACATCTATGACAGCTTGATAGCGATTCCGACTTGACTTTATATACTATATACTATATCAACACATGTTCGTGTGGGCCCAGTTCTGAGCTGGAGGCTGTCTGACACTTGTTGAACCTTCTTGGCTTTAGCACAGTGACGCTAAAACGATTGCGGCTAACGAGCAAACAAAAATGGCTGGAAAAAGGGGCGGTATCTGCTGAGCCTTTGTCACAAGACTCCAAAATGGGCCCGTCATAAAGATCTTGGGATTTCTAGGTTTATTTTCTTAAAATATATTGTACACCCTAATTGTGCGGTCGAGCTATGCAGTTAGCTTATGGGATATAGAAGTATACGCCCTGTTGACTTGCTTTAATGCAAAGTAGTTAACAATAATTGTGGGAATATAGTGGAAGACCTACAGACAGACAACTATAGTTGTCTAGACTATATGCCCTATTTTTATGGCTCAAGATTTTTGGGTGTCTGATTATTATTATACTATCTTAAGGTTCTTATGACAGAAATAACAATTTGTTTTATACATTTACCAGAAACATTTTTCTAATTAAATCATCTTTATTAGCTATTGAGCACCTATATATTTTGCAAATCATGTTTATAGGTTTCGAACTGAAACAGGTTTTCTATTTAGCATTCGAGAAACCGCAGCCTATAAGAAAGTGACAGGAGAAGGAGAGAGGGAGTAATAAACGCATTAGTAACTTTGCATATTTTCGCATTCATTTGTATCTGTGAAATGCAAAAAATGTAAACTGGTTTGCTCGACTTCAATCGCAAAACCCCTCGGCCCTCAAAACTCACATGTCGCTCTTTCATGTGTGTTTATTTCGTTGAAGGCCTTTTTGGTGGGCAGGCGGCTCTAATTACTTCTTATTTGGAGGCGGATTGCAGTGCTGAATTCGTGAATTTCTGGTTGCAAGAAGGTTGCTATTAAACCAACAACTTACAATGGCTTTGGAAGTGCTTCCACATGCGCTGTGTGTGAAGCTCAGAACAAAGCTAAAGCGACCTTCACTTGTCTGTAATTTATGAAAGTGAAAATTAAAAAAAAAAAAAAGGGAAGCCATAAAGTAGTTGAACTAAACCATGATCTACCTCAATTAAAACCACATAGTATTTTTAAATCTAACAAGAATTCAATGAGGCGCGTTCCCATTAAAAAACATCAAAAATAAACCAGTTTAAATAATTTAAATTTTTAATACAGCGTCATTAAAGCCCTGTAGAAGAGTTTTTATAAAATGATCAGTATTAGCAAGCAAAGTTTTGTAATATTTCATGGGCTTATCAAATTCGCTTATCGCCTTTATTGCTTCCAGAGTAAACAACGCTTTAAACCTGCTCTATATTAAGTTTAGTGAGCAGTGTAGATTTAATACATCATTAAACCTGATTATTAACTAGAACAACAAACATTGATTAAGCCAGAAAGAGAATGTCACATTCAAGGGCCACTTGGCAACGAAAATAGGCCTACTTATATTGGTCGGATGCAATAAATTAGCCGCAACAATAGTACTGATATATGTATTTAGATACAAAATTTAGTGGCCTCTGATTATTCGCTTTGATTTCCACATGACAATTTACTATTAAGAGTGTAGCTATCAATATTTTTCCATATCGACGCTAGAACCATTAAACGCTGATTATGTTTATCAAGGCGAATAATTGAATTTAATTAAGGATTGTGTCAAATTTTAAAATTGAGATTAATTAAGTCGTGCCCTTTTGGCTTTGACATAATGTTACACTTTCGGTGACATAATTTTACACTCCACGCAATCGTTTTAATTATACGAATTTAAAATTCTCAGACGATTCACTCACGAGTTGGCGATCCTAACGTAACTGGGGTGAACGTAACTTTCTATTTGATGGCAAGAGTTTCGCTTAAACGATCAATAAACGTAACCCACAAATCAATTGAAACGGCTGATTGAACATTGGACCGCTCAAGTGTCGAATTCTCGTATCTAGGCTACATATTGTCCATGCCAATAGAAATTTACACAGCCCCTGCCCTCTGACAGAGCGATCGATCGCCCAAGTCATAATCGATTCAATGCATTCTCCCAAGACACACAATTCTCCATAGGAGAGCACTGACTACGCCAAACCAAACCAAACCAAACCAAGCTGTGGGCAAATATTTGACGGGCCATTCGCATGCGCTTCAATTGAAATCGAATTGAATAAATTCCACTTGATTTAATTGCTAAGCCTTTCGAGTGACGACAATGCCAGCGACACCCATAAAAAGTTTGCATCTACATAAAAAGAGGGGGTTTCTTTGGGTTTCATCAATCACCTTCGCTTTTATCGCCAATACGTGGAGTTAGGGTAATGATTATGATAAGTTGTTTAATAATGAAATATATTTTTGGAGTCTGAAAACTTAAGTCCTGATCTTATGTTTCCAAGAAGGGAATTAAAAAACTTTTATAAACTATTAATATAAAATATATGAACAATATTCATTTTACCATAAACTTTGTCAGAAAGGCAACATGTAAAAGTATAAATCAGTAACTTAATTGCAAAAAACATCAAACAAAAATAATGAAGTTCTAGGATACTAACATAAACATACCTTTTTAATTAAAAAAAGATAAATACATTTTTTTCTATAGGAATACATTCTTTTTAATTTGTTTTTTTTTTTTTAATTGTGTAATAAAGCTAGTTTCATTCGTGTTTTTATCTGCTGCTAAAACTATGTACGTAGTGCTTATTCATATAAGAGATAATCACTATCTCTTACTTAGCTGAATGCTCACTCACTATTCTAGCTTATGACCTTTCCCAACCCATCTAAAATTGTGACTTCTCTTTATTCCAGGGGACTTTGGCAAGTACCAGTTCCTGCAGTTCTTCCTGCAGGTCCTCTCCGGCTTGACCGCTGGCATGCACATGCTGTCGCTGGTGACGGTGGCCGCGGTTCCCGAGCACCGATGCTTCATCGAGGGCGTCGACAACAGCAGCTTGTCGGTGACCCCCTGGAACTCGAGCGACATTCTGGCCGCCATTCCTCTCAAGCCAAGTGGTGAGCTGGAGTCCTGCTTCATGTACGATCCCGCCGATCGGGCCTCCAATGCCACTGTTCGCTGCACACGTTACGTATACGACACGACGTACTACAAGACCTCGCGCACCATCGACTGGAACTTCGTGTGCGATCGCCTCTGGATGGGCTCCATTGTGCAGACCGTGTTTATGTTGGGTGTGTTCACCGGCGCCGTCACCCTTGGCGGACTCGCCGATAAAGTGGGCCGGAAGACCGTGTTCTGCTGGTCGGCTCTCTTTCAACTGATCATCGGCGTGGGCGTGGCCTTCATCCCCGAGTACTTCTCCTTCATGGTGGCCCGCTACCTGCTGGGAATCGTGGGATCCGCCGGCGCCTACATCTGCGGATTTGTGTTAACCATGGAGTTGGTGGGACCCTCCAAGCGAACTGTGTGCGGCATTACCTTCCAGGTGAGAATAAACCTACTAGCATATAAACAAAACTTATATATGATATTGCCACTTACTTCTTTAAAAACTATTTCAAAATTGATATAAAATATAAAAAAACAATGTTTAAAACTGATTTATTTAGGAAATAATATATATTTTGTTGAATTTTTAAGTTCATTGTTTTTCTATAAGTAAATGTAGATAACTTATAAGATATACCTTTCTTCTTTAAGTCTTTTATTGAATATGCGACATACTTTTTAAATACCTGTTCTATTATATTATATTTGTCAATCTTGTTGACAATCACCTTGCCACCTTGAATTCCCCAGATCAGCGGCATCTCATTAAATTTTTACATATTGATATTTACTTAGCACTTAATCTCGGCTGTTTTCCCCCGCACTAATGCGCTCTAATCTTTTCAGGCTGTTTTCGCTGGCGGCATCATGTTGGTGGCGGGATGGGGAGCCCTGATCCACGACCGGCAGTGGCTTCAGGTGGTCTACGGCCTGCATGGTTGCCTGTTCCTGGGCCACTGGTGGCTGCTCGACGAATCTCCACGCTGGCTGTGGATGCAGGGCCGTGCCGCCGAGGCGGTGGACATTGTGGCCAAGGGACTGAGGATCAACGGTTCGGGAATACCGGTGGACAAGGAGTACTATGTACAGAAGGCCAAGCAGCAGCAGGCGGCCACGGAGGAGACCAGTGCTGGATTGAGTGATCTCTTCCGCACTCCCAACCTGCGGATGAAGACCTTGAACGTGTGCCTCTGCTGGTTTGCCAATTCCATCGTTTACTACGGACTTTCGCTCAGTTCCGGCAAGATGGCCGGCAATCCCTACCTGCTCCTGTTCATCCTGGGCCTGGTGGAGTTCCCCAGCTACATAACCATTGTGTTCGTTCTGGATCGCCTGGGTCGTCGATCGATCACCTCCACCTTGATGTTGGGTGGTGGCTTGTGCTGCATTGTGGCCGCTTACATTGCCCAGGGAAGCAGTGCCTCCACGACCGTGGTGATGGCAGGAAAGCTCCTCATCGCCGGATCCTTTGCTGTCATCTACAACTACTCGGCGGAACTGTTTCCCACTGTGGTACGAAATTCTGCCATGGGCTTGGGATCCATGTGTGCCCGTCTGTCGGGAGCGCTCACTCCGCTCATCTCGTTGCTGGACTCCTTTGATCCCAGGATTCCGGCAGTGCTCTTTGGCGTGGTGGCTCTGATCTCCGGTTTCTGGGTGATGTTCCTGCCGGAGACCATGAATCAGCCCATGCCCGAGTCCATCGAGGATGGCGAGAACTTCGGCAAGGGCGACACTTGGTTCAGCCAGTGCGCCGGTCGCAAGAAGCGCCAGAATAGCGTCTATCCCGATGATCCCGAGCAAATGGTTCCGCTCAAGAACATCGAGAGCAAGTGAAGTTAAAAGCCAAAGACGATTGTGCAAGTGTCCCGAATGCAGTTCAAATTTCTTGTTACCCTGTTTGTCTTGTTAAGAATTCTACTCTTCTGCCTAGTAGTAAGTTTTAAGAGTTTCTATCCATTCCAAGTGAATAAAGTTATGCTAAAGTGTGGGGATAGCCACTTCAGAAGGCTTGAACCAACACTGTGCCACTATAAGTTGTTTGTAAATTATGAGTTTTATTTTGTAAGCTAATAAAGGTATTTAAAATAAAAGCCACCCTAATATGCAATTCAAAAAAAAAAGGCCTTCTTTTAGGTTGAGTCATTAATAGATACCTACAAAATTTGAACCCCAAAAGTATAATACAAATGATCAGCTAAAGCTTGTGGATTTTCGTATCGAGCGGGTATACTATATTGGTTTTATGGTATACCATAGCTCCCCGCAATGTTTTCCCAAAACTTTTCCCCCAATTAAAGTTTATCCCCTCCCCAGAAGGGCAAACCCAATTCGAGTTCCTTTGGCCCTGGAAAGTTTTCAGTAATTTCCACTCAATTGCACTATCCAATTGCCAATTGTCGACAGGGATTGCCAATGTCAAATCCATAACCATCGCTGCCACGTGCCACTTGCCACTTGCCCCACAGCATGTTTCCTGCTGCACCAACCGTCAATTAAACTTGTCTGAAAGAGTTCTGTTTCGGGTTTTTCTGTTTCTGTTTCGCTTTTGTTATTTCTTCTTTTTTGTTTTGTTTGGTACATTTGAGAACATTCATTTCGAATTTGAATATATTTTTTCAATTTAAGTTTTAACTACACGTAGGCATATAGATTTATATACGTATGCATGTATGGCGATATCTGATGCGATACCGCTACACCATTTCGCTGGCTTAGAATTACATTAACATTTACATAGATATATTAGCTTTATATCTGGGATTTCGGATCGCGGTTCTCGGCAGCGCCTCTGGCAGCGATTTCCCATCGAAGGTACACAGAGATAGAGATATCGTTAGCAGGTAGTCGCGATGGGTTAACACACCGATATTCTTACACGTAGACACACTCAGATCGAGAGAGATAAACACATCTAGATGCGGTTGCTAGCCAAAGAACTTGTATCAGAAGCCAATTCGGGGGTAAATGCTACACTTGAAGGAGGTTGGTGGGTGGGAAAGTATGTATGTGGGTCATGGGAGTTCGAGTGCCTAGTAATACAAACATACGAACGTAGCTAAATGTATGTGTAAATTAATCACAATTGAATTTGAAAATATTTACAAAAAAATACTCAATCCAAGCCCCATCCATCTGCGGATCGTGATCGTGTCGTGATCGGTTCCCAACCCGTTGTCCAGTTCGTTTGGATGCTACAACTCAAGTTATCAGCTTTGTCTTCAGCTTCGTCCACCACCGGGTGATTATGCCCGTTCCGGGCACTTCGTCTGGACGATCGGCGTCTTGGCCTGCAGCCCAGGAGCCGTGTCCGCCAGCATGGCCGTGTGCACAATGATGGCCGGCTGGTCCTCGCTCTGGGGATGCAGCTCGTGCGACTCGCCGGGCGTGAGACTGGCCAGGGCGGCCAGCAGGTCGTGGTTGACCAGCGGCTCGCCCTCCTCGCGCGGCTCCCAGCCGGCTGGCGGCGAGGCGGGTGGCGAGATGAGGAACTGTTTGACCGGCGCCGGCGGCTGCAGGTTCTTGTTGCTCACCGGTGTCACCGGCTGGGCGAAGTAGCACGTGATCACCGTCTTCTTGTTGAACTCGTACTGGTGCAGCTTGATCCGCGCATTTGCCGCCGCAATGGCGTTGTCATAGTTCACCCTCAGGCGGCGGAAGCTGCGCAGCCATTGGAACGTGGCGGATTCGCTGAATGTGCGGAATAGCTCCTCCATCGAGTGCTTCAGCTCCGGATTGGTGAACACCTCCGAGTGGATGTTGGTCACGATGATCGAGGTGGGTAGGTCGTCAAACGAATCGGCATCCACCTCCGGCTCCGTGTCGCTGTCCACATCGCCCTCCTTCGGCAGCGACGGATGCTGATTGGGCAGACCGTCGGCGGCGTTGATGAAGATGTCCTGATCCGGTGACATTTTGTCTATGCTCCCGCCTCCGCTGCTATTCTGGGTCGACTTTAGTTTGTTCTTGCTTTTGGCGCTCCCGTTGGCGCTGTTGTTGTTGTTGTGATTGCCGCGTGGAGTTGTGGGCGTGGCGTCACTCGCCTCGTCAGCTCCTCCAGCAGCGTCGGGAGTGGCTGGATCGGGTCCATCGGCAGACGCGTTGTTGTTGGACTTGGCCGCGTCGGACATGGCTGCCTGAAATCACAGAAAAAGGAGTTAGAACCAGTTATCTCAGGATAAAGGTATTCTTAGAACTGTAAAATAAAAACCACCAGTGGTTAATTACGCTTTATTAACGTTAATTTACTAATAAAAAGGTGGAGTTAGCTTTTAACACATTCTCATAATATCTTCAAAGCGGTAAAAAAAATTATTCTAAGTGCCCGCCTTTTTTCAAAAGTTCAATAAGTGGTTTTTAAGCTGACCTTTAAAGCACCTAAAGTTCAATTAACATCGGGAATATTTATATTTCTCCTCAGTCATTTCGTAGAATCAAGAATTATTTATAACTAAGCTCATTACGAACAATTAGCATAGTTTCAAGGGCAATTCCTGTGGGAAGCTAGCTTCTGCTCGGAATCTAAATTCGTACAAATCATTACTGCTATTTTTAAATAAGTACGGCCCTTAATTATAGCTCCGAACGCAAAATAACTTTACAGTAATTGGATTCAACAAGTCGGTGACATTTTCCATAAATAGAACTGTCAGTGGGCCAACCTTCACCGCCAAACATTTCTAAAAAATTGGTAAACAGCGCTTGCAAATTAATTCCACACAAGGACCAAAGGGTGATGGGCAAACAACATTGGCATTGGGCTAATGTTTTTGTTTACGTAACACGTTTGCAACAAATTTCAAGCGCCACGCTACGACAATAAAAAATTGCTTACCACCAGCAACCCTACAGCCAATTACGCGACCGAAAAAACTACAGACCTGTCTGAGTTTTGAGCGGAGTGGTGACGGGGGAATTCAAGGAAGTGTGTCTCGGCGCAGAAAGGACTTAAGTATCGACACGTGAAGCCAATCAATAGGCTCCACCAACCAAGCGGTTGGAGTATCAAGGGGGATTCGATGGTGACGCACTGTTGATTCACAACTGCGCTTGATTTTATTGTTATGCCCGCGTGGCACAAAACTAACGAAGAGGGAAAAGCGCCAGACGGGTGATTAATAGTGGCGAATTTTTTGTGAATGAATGAATGAATGACTGGAACTGAGGAACTGGCGCCACGTTGCTGGCGTCAGAACAGGAATACGAATACGGTGACGTGTGTCTGCTTTCGCACCTGTGACCGGCATGAAACCCATTCCCGAGGAAAAGAATCCGAAGGGAACTTTTAGTGTGTTTTATTATAATAACTGGCAGTCGTCGTGCTTCTGGATGGGCGCCCATTTGTATGCTATAAAAATAGCATTTTCCCCTAATGTTTTATTGTGACCCATGAATCAGCAATATGCAGTGAGTTAATTATACGCTGTTTACCCCGGGGAGGCAGCTATTTTGGCCAAATGCAAATGGTTCCTTGCGCCGGCTTGGCCAACCGAAATTGTCTTAGTTTCGGGTGGTGAAATTTGCAAACTTTTTACGAGACGCCATTTCGCGACCGAGGGGCCAGGGCCATGGGTCGAAAATGTTTTCTTTGTTTTTCTTAATTAGTACTTTGAGCATAAATTACAAACCCGTTTGAAAGAACTTTTAATGGATTTTAATTAGAATTTTGATTTTATTGTTGCCATAACAAAATCGATTTCTTTGGCATTCTAAGATGAAGAGATAATTTGTTAAGAGGTTTTAATTTTGCTTAAGCCATGGCGTTTATAACCTGGCGATGCTCTACTTAATTTCTAGCCAATAACATTGCTGATGGTCAAAAACATTTCAATGCCATTTAGAAGTGCACACGTGCAGTTTTTGTAAATTGGGTAATGTATTTATGTTATCTCGTGCAATTTCAATTTACATAATTTGTTTATCTTTGCCCAGTAATAAATGTTTTTCTGAGATCATGATCTACCTAAGCACGCAAATAAAGGGTCCTTCTGTGGAGTGGATAGCATTTTAATTTAATTAAATTGCAACAACCCATTTGCGATAAGCCATCTTACTTATGCACTCCGAAAAATGAATAACCACTTGAAGGGACGACAAGGCCAAGTGCGATGTTTTAAAGTGTGCCAGACCTCTGCCACCCGAAATATCCTGCCTGAAGGATTGTTGCCACTTCTACTCTTCCTTTTGTGACCGCGTTTTTTGTTGACTTTCACCTCAACGCAGCCAAGCAGAGCAACAACAGAGCCAAGCGTAGCTAACAATAAAAACAAAGGCCAAAAAAGAACACAACGCCGAATTGATCTATTTCCGGATGATTGATTTCCTTGAAAGGACACTCCCACACAATTGTTACTTGTGCTCGGAGCGGAAGTGGAGGGGGCTCTGTATGGGTTTTGAATCCAGGGCGAAACTTCGTTCGTTCATGACGTGTGTACTTAGTTCGTCGGGGAGCTTGATCCCTATCTCGGGAGGAGCTCTTGCGAGGACGTTGGCAATTGCAAGTCAGCAAAAACGAGCTACTGGCATGCAAATTGTTTGGCCCCGGTGTGACGTCATTGTTCCTGCACGCAATCCGTTGCAAAAAAAAGCGAAGAAAGCTGGCCGAAAGCGCACTGATAACTAGACAAAAGTAGCTCTCAGCCCCGCCCACTTTTCAGAGGAGGGCGGTGCCGTGGTTTCGACATGATGATGAATTGCCTGCCGGTCGTTAGCCGGCGACCTTCACTCATTCATAATTGCTGTCATCATTATATCAAGTGGTCGCCCCCCTCCTCCTCCTCCCGGGGAATCCTGCCCTCCATCCGTCCCCTTATATGTTATATCCATTCACTCGCCAATCCATCCATCCTTCGGCTCATCCCGTCATGAGAGACTTTGCAGACTTTTAGCCGTAAGTAGCCTGGCACACAAGCCACCTCAAAGACACGCAAAAGCTCTTTAAATCATGTGAGACGGCTTTATTGGGCTGCTCGAAAAAGCCGCACACAAAAGAGTATAAAACAAATTGGTTAAAGCGATGTAAATGTTTTACACAAGCAATCTGTAATGTTTCCCTTTAAATATTCATGATATTAACATTTAAAGGATTTTCTTTCCATAAGCTCATGGTGTTCGAATAAAGTAAACTATCATATTCACATTCATCCTTAAATCCCTTAAGCGCTTAAATTTGTGAATTGCAATTTAATTGAAACTCGTCCTCCACTTAAAATGGATCGGTCGTGTGTGAATGCGAATGCGAGTGAATTGTAGCCTTATTTACATTATCGTCTCGTTTTCGTGACAAAAGGCAAATCCCATGAGTGCGTTTCCACTCTTCATCACAGATGCTGCTGCAGTTTGCAGTTGCCGATGCAGATTCAGTTTACCCTATTTCAATGCAAATGCAAATAATGTTGGGGGCGAGATTAATTTGATTTCCTGTTGAAATTTTAAACTTTCCCTCGAACCAATTCCTGCCAGAGTCAGATATTCGCAATTGATGGGCATTTCGCTGGGAATTTAATTAAAATGGTACGGGTATTTTTGCCGAGCTCAAAGCTTGTTTTTGTTATTACATCTTCTTGCTGCGGTTGCTGCGGGGCTCGCTGCTCATATTTTAAGCCTGCAAGTGTCGGCTTCGTTTGCCACATGTCACATGTGTTGCTGCAACCGGAATCCTTTCAAGGCGAACGCTAAAGGTCAGGCGGTCAGGTTCGGTATCTGGCCGTTAGGCAGGTGGACGAGAATTTTATCACACATTCTGTGGCAGTAAAAGGTTCGCAAGGTCACGCGAAACGTGTCTGAAGCGCAAGCCTCAGCTGGAAGATTTGTTAACAGAATTAATTGAATCCTAATTAGTTTGAAACTTCCATCTGTTCAACCAGCGTTCTCTGCTCATTTGTTCTGTAAGTTCTGAGATTTCTAATTCGCACTTGCATATAGAATGTGGAATGCTGGAAATTTAAATACACCTTTATCTGCACCTGAAAGTATGCTATTCTTCCCACACATCCAAACACACACACACACGGACAAAAACACACACCTAGCCCCTTTGTAAATGAGCTCTGCACAAAACCGAGTTGACTTTCCACGGCTGCTGCGGTTGGATAATTGCTGCCAAAGGTGAAACGTTCACCAAAAGCTTACCTACCGTGGGCTGATTTACCTGGGAGTGGCACAAACCAGGTGGGCGGACGTGGGCGGAACGGAACAAATACAGCTGATTGGCAGGACATTGATTGGTCGCATGTACCGTGTGTGCAAAATGCAAAATGGCTTAGCTTTGGTCTGCAAATCAGCGGGAATTGTGTGTACTAAATACCCAGCGAGACAAAAATGTAAAGCTAGGGTCAGATTAAACACCTCTATTTAAGGAAAATTTTATCCATGATACAAAATTGGATTTCTTTTGAAACAAATATATTGAGTAATCTAATACATTTAGGTATAAACGTCATCATTTCTGATTAATTATAGGTGGTCAATTTATAAACGAATGAAATATGAAACCAATTCCTTAATATAGTAACGAAATCACACCTTTTAGCTCAGAAAAAAAAAACCAATTACCATCCCATCTTCGAATCAAATAATTCAATAAACAGATTAATTACACCGAAAGTTATCGGTTACTTTTCTGAATGAACTTTTATTTGCCCATCGGCGGCGTTTCGCACTGTGTGTCCCGAATGCTCTTACTAATTCAATAGGCAGCTGTGTGGGTTTGTTTTGTGGACTCATTAAACCTAATCCCCTTATTCATGGGGCAGTCCGCCGCTGGCCACCCACCGCCCATGGAGCATTCACGAGGGGCTGCGATGATAGCAACTCGCTTTGTTGATACTGAGCACTCTGTGGGTTGCTCTCAGCATCCGAGGGGAATGCTACTGAATCTGCTGAATTTACCTATTGACATTGCATGACAATATCAGGTTTTCGTAATTACCCGACACTTTCAGGCATAAACTGTTAATTAAATCATTTACACACCGATGGCCCGCACCGCAATAGATTTGTAAACAAATTTTGCAGCAAGTGTATGTGGCAAACGGATTCTGACGATTGCTTTAGACTTTTTGGGGCAGAATATTCCTGGCATTTGGACTGACCTTCAATCGGAATTGCAAATTCTGATGTGGCCCACACACCCGTCAAAGTTCACCGCCACCCCCTCCGCCCGCTACTTTTGCAAATTGGATTGTTATCACTCAAAGTCCTTGGGCGATTCGGAGGAGTTCTTCCCTCACCCCCCAAAAGAAGTCCTCCAACAACCATCGACCAGCCCCTTTGTTGTCGCCTGTCACTCGCAACTGTGCGCCTCCATGAGTGTGCATCTGTGGGTTTCTCTGCGGGGCCGGCTGTCTTGTCAGCGTTTTGACACGAAAATAGTTTGGCCAACTTAGCTATGCAAAAGCGATTTATATTAAGAGCCAGCCATCGCCGACATGTGCCGCCCGAAATTCCCGAATTCGGGGAGGGGTTTATCAAAGTTAACTGTGGTTTCACTTTTGCGCAGGGCAGAAGATCAATAGTTGCTGCTCCAATAAATTAAACATTTGCTTAGGCATCAAACTTTCTGTGCGCCAGTGCTATCAGCAGTTCAAGGTTAAGTTCAGATGGTTGAAACCAGATGGTTATTTTAAATCAGGGCCACGGTAGTCCCCTACTTTGAAGAGCTTCTTATCACCAGTTCCCAGTGACGCACCAAACGGTCGCATCTAGCCCCTTGCCCACGAAAAAAAGATAACATTTGGCTGTTGCTACTATCGATAATTGAGACGTTTACAGCCGGTATATACCTCAAACCTCAAGTCCAAACGAGTCGTGCCAAATCGACTTGACTACCGTATGCAAGGTTTCGAATACAATCGACGGCGATGCCAATCAGACCGATGTGTTAAGTGAGTTAGGGGCACTTTTGCTGGGACGTGACGTCAGTGCAACTGCAGCTAGATCCAGTCAAGCCAATTGACGAAAGAGCCGACGGCAGCGGTTGGTCTGTACTCAATTCATCAATTGGCAAGCCCCGGCAAAAAGGCAGCAGAACGGCAACAGCAAAGAAGCTAGAAAACAAAACAAAAGCGAACGCAAACCGAAATAGCATAAAATGGACAACAGACGACGCGACAACAGACCGCACCGCAATCGCAGGGGGAAAAAGATGAGTTGCTTTTATTTTAAAACCGTTTCATTTATTTTGCGTCAGCAGCGCCGCTCAATGAGGAAACGCTGCGTATACATAATTTTCTGGGCAAATATACGCACTCTCATATCTGTCCGCCGTCGATTGTAGTCGGTCCCAATCAAAAGTACGGACGAGTGATCTTTCCGGTCTCCACCAAAAACAGTTTGTTATTCCCCTCTTGCCAGCTCTTAAAACTGGGTTGTTTTCGAGTGATTTCGATTCTGATTTAAAGATTGTTTTGGGAAAATACTGCTTAGCCTTGCTTTCATTACCACACTTTATACTTGACGTCATTTATATAGAATCTATTCTTGAATTAATCAAAACATATACATTTTTGTTCAAGTGGGTCAAACCAAAACACAGCAAATCAAATATCCTATATGATATTTAATAATAATCAGTTATAATAGACTAACATACAAAAAAAAGTTGATACAAGGAAAGAATCTTCAAAGTTTCTTGTTTAAATGGGTAATTAAACCAATTTCGACGTTAGCATGATTCTATGCAGTAATGTAAAAACTTTTAACAAGATAATAGCTTAATAACCGGCCACATTTCTTGGCTGCATATAATAGCTGTTATCTGCTAATAGTTCCTTCCCAGCTATCTTGTATTCTTGTTTTTAATCGCTCTAAAACACACATCTGTTACCCATGACACGATGAGTTGCTATTTTGTTCACAGGCATTAATTTGTCATGATTCTTTTGAGCGTGCACTTTATCCGAAAGTCTGAACAGCTGGCTGGGAAATGGAAACCGGATTGGAAACGGCGAGTGAATCTTTCTTCGCTGCTCAGACAACTGGGCGCCACTGGGCATTGTGGGGATATTTGTGGCGATGGAAAAAAAGGACACAGCGACGCAAAGGTCGCTATGCAAAGCCAAGGTCGAGACTTACAGCCAGGTCATTGTGTTGTGTTTTGCTGGCAGTAACAACGCCCACGCACTCGCCCTTGTCAACTAGCCGGGTAAAAAATAGAATCAAATACATATTCGTAGAACAGGAGCTGAGCAACAGCAGCGCTCTTATTTTATTTGCATTTGTGAATTTATTGCTTTCGGTTACGTTTCGCTTTGCCATTTCCCAACTCGTTGTGCTGCTTGGGGAATTTTCGGGAATCGTTCGGGATTGGGTTTGTAGCAGCCAGGGGCTTCTACTGTTGCTCAAAGCAATTAAAATTTCACAAAAAAAAAAAACAAAAAACCGACGAAAGCAGCAGCAACAAAGCGACCGCAACAGTGGCAACAAACCTCCTCAATCGCCCCCGCTTATATGTATGTACAAACATACGTCTTCATTTTTCAGCCAAGGACTTGCCACGCTTAAAATTCAGGCAGCAGCCGCAGAGTTAAGGCCGTGAACAGTGGGCGGAATTTAATTTCAAAAAACAACATATACTTGGCTGTTCTGATCTTTAACTACCTTAAGTTAGAAGTCGTTAACTTCAGAAATGTTTCTTCTTTAATTGAAGACTTTCATGGGTGTACACAGTTCAAAACGCCTTTCAACTTTAAGCATACTTTCTTCGATTTGGCTTAGGTTTCAAGCTCTTAATCTTTTATTTTTTAATTAAATAGAATATATTTAGTTTTACTTTTGTAATTTCACCAACTTATGCCCAATCTATCAGTAGCCCTAACTATATTTTTAAATTGTTCATCATTGCAGTATGATTATATCTTCTATTAGCAAGGTCTCTTGAATTTTATCTATATTTAATTAATTTCATCACTTTCGATGTTCATTATGTGGCCAAGAATGTGCTTGAAAAACTAATTTTGTGCTTTTTACTGCCACAGTGCAGTGGCTGCAAAAGTATGCGATAACAATAACATGGTCCACTATGTGGTAGGTGTTGGGGTTACGGGCTGTCAGTCACGGTCACGGCTGCAACCCCTCCCCCCGCTCCCCTTTCCGTTGAATTCGAGTCCGGCAAACAATGGCTGCGCGGAGGACGAAGAAGAGAGGAGAGCAGAGCAGAGTGGATGATGGCCAAGGATGAAGGAGGGAAATTCAATAACAGCAGCGGCAGGAACAACAAATATCCTGCACCCACGCAAGAGTACCAGGAACTGTGGCAACAACAGCTGCTGCAGGATCAAAACGAGGTGGGTGTGGATTCGAGGACTTAAAAACAGGAGCTAGCCAAAAACAAACAGACACGCCGAAACCAGAATACGCTTTACCTTGAATCAAAGGGGGGTTTTAAAATCATTAATCACAATTTATGGGGGTTACCCTTTTAAAGGGGTTCACCCTCTTCTGTTTTTCTGGATTTTATCTAAGGGGGGGTTTTGTGAAAAAAGTTCATTTCCTTTTGGGAACTTTTTCCACATATAATAAATTGTGTACATATGTACATATTTTACCTTATTTATATTTTTGGGATTTTATTGTAATCTTATTTAGACCTTGTGTGTTTAAAATATCACACGTCAAGTTTATGTATAATGTTGGAAAGTAAATTTGCTCAATAATTTAATTTCAGTTGAAAGATGGTTAGAGTATGGCTTTGAAATTCGAAGTTCCCAGTAAGCCGAGTGGATTGAGTTAAGATCATAATTTTATTACTCACACTTGAAAAAGCCTTTGTGAGATTTAAAACCCCACGACTAGCTGTGCACGCCATTGCAAGGGTAAAATTAGAACAACAAAAACAGCATGGCATTTCTGTTGGCAAATAATGGCGTGTGCATAAAAATAAGCAAAATGGAAACCCCCTTCTCTGCGGGGGCTGGGATAACCTTGTACTTCTTTTGATAAAAACAATTTGCTTTTTTCCTTGCCGTTTTAGCGGCTTTCGGCTGAATGTTTATAAACAAATCGCAAGAGAGGCGGTTGACAATGGGGGTGGTTAAAAAGGGGGTGACTTTTCGCAGACGCTGCGGCACCCACACAAAAGACTGAAAGTGGTAACACAGCAACAATTTGCACGTAAAACTCAGCTGCTGCGTTACATAAGAAAGTCTTGCAAAAAATAAGTGCACAGCTCAATTTGGTATGCAAATGGACCTCTTTCACAAATTACTCACCGTTTTAAAAACTATTCAGAGGCCAAATTGCGATTCGGTTTTATGCGCCAATAACAAACGGCACTTTTCCCCTCTTTTGTTGTTGTGTTGTTGCGTTTTCCTGCTGCTGTGCGAAGTAGTTGTTGTTTTTGTTGGCTGCAATGCAACGGGAATTCGCAAGTGCACCGCTATTGTTGAATGTTATTTAGCCGATTGCCATCCAAGTGGAAGCTTCCAGTCTGCGTCATTCGCGGAGACGCGCTACTTTACGTTCGACGACACAACCGCTCGCGAAGAATTTTGTTTTTGGGAGAGAGGCGAAAATCAGTCTTACCAGACAGCGAAGTGCCTTTCCCCAAATGCTCCACCAAAAAATGCTACTAAAAAAAACTCAGTTCCCACACAAAACCACCAACTTAAATTGGTTGTGAACTCGGATTTTATTGCGAAAGAAAACGGTCACACTCAGGGATGTGCGATTGTTAACCGGAATCGCGTCGCTCTGCTAACGCTTAGCAACACTGTTTTTACGCGAGTAGCAAAAGAGAAGCCCAAACATTGATCAAAAACTTCTAATTTTATATTAAAATTAGAGCATTTAGTGGGAAAGAATCTCTCAAAAGTAAACCATGGCCAACGTGGAGTCTATGATCGTAGAAGAAAAGACTCAGGTCAAGCAAATTGACCGCGAGAAGGTTTGTGCGGTTCACCGGCATTGTTTATTTATATGTAAATCCGTTTCCCTAGATACTAATATAGACTATGTGCTTTATTTTTTAGACCTGCCCGCTGCTGCTCCGAGTTTTCTGTTCCACCGGACGACACCACTCCGTTTCCGAGTACATGTTCGGAAATGTGCCCACCAACGAGCTGCAGATCTATACCTGGCAAGACGCCACCCTCCACGAACTGACTTCCTTGGTGCGGGATGTGAATCCGGATACCAGGAAAAAAGGAACCTACTTCGACTTTGCCGTTGTGTACCCCAACTTCCGGAACAATCACTTCCAGATGCGCGAAATAGGAGTGACATGCACGGGCCAGAAGGGCATAGATGATAACACGACACTCGCACAGGCTAAGTTCAGCATCGGAGACTTTCTGGATATCTCGATTACGCCGCCCAACCGTCTGCCACCCACTGCCAGGCGTCAGCGACCCTACTGAATTCACTCGTATTTCAATCTATTCTAATCATTTTTAATTTTTCACTTGACATAATTATAAGTGGAATACAAGTAAGACGACCTACGAGCTGCTTTGACTTAAGGGACTAAACATATGTGCTGGGGAGTATCAGTTCCTGTAGATGCCGTTCGGGCGCTTCGACTTCTTCTTGCCCAGCTGCGTCATGTCGATCTCCAGGCCGTTGGGCAACACGGCGCGGTTCTCCTCGTAGTTGATGAAGCCGTTCTCCTGCAGCTCCTCCTCGTTGTTTCGGTTGTTCGGGTCACACTTGATACCCGTTTCGTAGTGGTACTCTCGTTTGTTACCGTCTGGATCAACGTATCCATATGTGCCCCTGTTGGAAGAAAATTTGTGGGTGGAAATTACATAAATAGTTTCTCTTTAAGATCTATGGCGCGAAAGCCTAGTTTCCGATCGCTCTACTTACTTAGTGATGCAGTCTGTGCCGATCAACTCCTCCTTGAAGGAGCCATCGTCGTTCTCGTAGCCCCATGTGATGCTTCCGTCCTCGTTCTCCTCGCGCCACTTCCGAATGGTCTGGGAAACGGGTTGCTTGCGGCGCTGCTGCTGCTGCTGGTCGATGCGATCGTCCTGCAGTTGGTTCTGATCGATGATGGGACGCGGCTGGACGGGCTTAGGGCGTGGTCTGGCCACAGGCTGTGGTGCTGGTGGCTCAGGACGCAGAACAGCGGCTGTCGCTGGTCTCGTACGGATCACAGCCACTCGTTGGGGCTGTGGAGGTGGTGGTGGTGGTGGCGCAGCTGCCGTTGGAGTGGGTCGCTCCAGCCCGAACCTCTGCGAGTTCTCAAACCGACCGATGCCAAAGTCGTTGAAGGCGGCGGGACGGTTCAATGGAGCCGGAATGGATGGACGTTCGGCGGGGAAGCGAGGAGGAGCTGGCAGAATGGCTGCTGGCTGGGAGTCCTCATTCTGAAGGAACTGCTGCACCGGCGAGGGTTGCTCGACGGGTTGCTGGCCAGCCAAGAAGGCGGCAGCTGCCTGCTGGAACTGCGATTGCTGGGCCTGGGCCAACTGCTGCTCGCGCAGAAGATTCGGGAGATATGGCTCCGGTTGCTCATCCTCTGCTGCCTCCGTCACCGGACGTTCCTCGAGGGCAATGCGCTGCGTCACCGCTGGCAGGATGGCATTTTGCTGTCGCAGAGAAGGTCCTGGTCGACGGACACGCAGAACAGGTTGTCGCTGGGGCAGTGGACCAGGTGATGCCACCGCTCCGGGAATAGTCAAGCGCTGCGGATAGTTTTGGGCCTCAGCCAAAGCGAGGGCGCTGCAAACGAGCTGCGATTGGATGAAAAAAAAATGGGAGTCATTAGTGCAGGCCATATAAGGACGAACTGTGCCAATTGCCGGAACAAGGCGTTGCAGCCAGTTTGGCAACAGCATGCCACACGTGGCTAATTTGCCACCGTCTGGTTTCTCGCTTATGGCTTTGTCCCTCTTAATTATTTTATATGGGCTGTTTTGACAAGCTTCTCGGCCAACTGCTTCTTAGAATTTTCATCACCCTTTGACTGTTTTTGGGGGCGGAAAACCCAATCGACTTTGGTAAACTTGGTCGTATCTTAATTGGTCAACAAGTTTACAAGAAGACAAAAAACCAGCGAATTTTTATTTAATCATATATATTTTTTTTTGGTAATTTAGAGGATAATTTATGATGAACTTCAATTATTTGTTAATGATCAACATATTTTTCTCTTTTTCAACTCAAAAGCATTTGTATAGCATTTTAAACAAATTCAATGCAATCCATTTTCTTTTTATATTTTGTAAGTTTATGCCTCTTAGCATGGCGCTTTTAATTACCACAAATTCGGGAATCGAAAAAGCGTTCCCCTCGCAATGCCACTCTTGTGGCACTTCTTGGTCGAAGTTGCTCACCTCACACCTCCGCAAACTGGTTTAAAATTTATCAACCGCTTATGTACTGCCGCTGCAATTTGTAATTGTAACGGTGTGGCGGCGGCAAAAACAATTGTGGCAATACTGTAATGGCTGTAAATGTGGAACATAAAACAAATCGCGATTTCTGCCCCGCCTCGCTGCCGATCGATCATAAAAGTAAAAACCAAAACCAAAAGCACAACCAAAACCAAAGCCAGGCCAAGAGAAGCCGAGCCAAAGCCAAAAGCGAGACCAAAAACAGAAGAAAAACGAAAACATTTCAGTCTTGCCGTCTTGATTGCGTAATTTGCATGATCGCAGTTATGTGGCATGTGGCAAGCACATTGGCCAAAAGTTTCCGGTTCGGAAAAGAAGTCAAAGTCTAGGACAAGTGACCGACCGACCGAGTAGTCGGCTTCATTATTTTAGCACGAATTGAGTGTGTCAACTTTTAATTAGCAGCCGCCTTTATTACACAATTCTTGGGGCGAACGCGGGGGCAAATAGCCGGCTTATGGCTTTGGTTTCGGTTTCCATCTGGCCACAGATCAGATAACTTTTTGCCCCACATTGCCGCGTAGCTTATATAAAAGAATTACTGGTGGGGGAAGTGGACAAAAGTCAATACGGAATTATGTTTTCCATTAGAGTTCTTGACACGATAAGCTTTGGATAGGAATTAAATAGATAGGAGTTCCTTAAATGCAAATTGACTTCAATTTTTTTTCATTTTTAATTTATGGTCATTCAGATTTTTACCAATTGTACCAATTGTTAAATATTTTAGTTATATGCAATTCATATCAATTTGTAATTTGCATTGTTCTCCCTATCTATTAAATTTTGATTTATAGGGCTGAGCAAAATAAAGACACAAATCTCCTCAAGCCATTAAACTTTATTGATTAAATAACAATTTTTTAATACTCATAAAAGCAGTCCACTTCGGGTTGTGGTCCATAATTCAATTGTCCCAACATAAATAACTATTACAGCTTATAATAATCAAACGAGTCAATGAAGCCTGTGGCTCATGCAGATTTTGTTATGCATGCAGTCAACACATTTTTCTCCCATTATTATCCATTATTTTCCTGTATCTGAGCTATTGGCTTTGTTTTTTGTTTGTTTGTGTTTGTGTTCGGGCCATTCAAGCCGAACATTCCAGTGGCCAGTGGCGGCTTGGCTGGCTGCCCAACTACCTGGTCAAGTGAACTACTTGGCTCTTGAGCTAATGAAAAGCCAAGTCTGAAACTGAGCAAGGCCTGTCAGACACTTGCAGCCATTTATTTGGGTGCATTGCTCGGCGGGGGAACTTGATTTGATTTAATTGCTTTTATGACTCCGCCTGCGTCTGCGTCGCAGTTCAAGGAAACCGAAAACCCAAAAATTCGTAGGCATGTGTAAGTGTGTAATGGAAGGTGTTCCCAACCCGAAGCCGAAACTGAACCAGGTGAAGTCAAGCCAAGTGGAGCCAAGCCCAGCGGGATAAACTCGCGTGGGTGTTCCTCTGATGTAGCACCATCATCATAATCAGCGAAAGGCAACAAAAGATGTTTATTCGTTTACTTCTGATGATCGGTTCATTAGTAACAACAGCTTGGCTAAGGACTTCTGGCCCGGCCTTGACTGCCTTGATGGCCATTGACCGAACGGGCGAACGAAATCGAAAATATGTCCTATGCCAGCCTGGCATTCGCCGCATTCGTTATTTTATCTCATTTTTTTTTGAGCTGGCCGGACTCGTTGAGCTGGAATAGTTGTCAGTGCACTTTCGAGCCGGCTTTGGTCTCAAAAAATATGTAACACTTATGCATGTATAAAGGCTTATTTATGCAGGCACATACTATATACCCGTTCATTACGTAATCCCAGCACACTACGCCCAAATGCGTCGGCTTGGCTGGCTGCCAAGTATCTAAAGCGGTATCTGTATCTGTATCTGTATCCGAGTCTGCCTGCAGCCACTGCAGCTGAGTGGAGTGTGCGTGCCGAGAATTTGCATCGCCTTGGGTGCGATTTTTGTGGATCCCAATCGCCCATAACTAGTTATTAGCTGCGGCCACCGACGACCTTGGTACACATAATCGGGGCTCGCACAATAACGTGTCGTGACGAACTGCGCCCGAACAATACTCTCCCAAAATTACCGGCAAATTGAGTGTTTCTTGTCGTTAACAATTCATTTTCTGGTCCAATTTTTGGCGAACTCATTAGGCCGTATCCATAATTTGGACAAGACAATCAATCAATCAAGCTAAGGCATGCAAATCTGATTAGAGTCGCTGATTTATTGGATTTTCAAGACGTGTTTTTGGTGTCGAAATTTCAGAAGTTTTAAGTTTTCACTTTAATATCTTTTTAATAACCTGATACTTAAAATAAATAAAATCTTTTAAAAATTTAACACTATCCAAATGCGATATGATTTACCTTGTGGTGAAATTTAACGAACTAAATTATTTCCTATTGTCTTTTTAGGATTGTAGGACGATTTGCTCTTCCTAATTAAGGGTAACACATTTTTTACAAAAACCTTTGATTTCCATGAACATTTAAACCTGGATAATAAACGTCTTTTGAACCAAGGTTATTTTTACTTGTTGGTTTTGATTGATTTTGGCGATCGAATCGAAAATAATTTAATTTATTTAACCCATAATTGACAATTCATCAGCTTTGCGCAGTAGCAAAGTGCTTTGATAATCTTTGTCTGCACAACAAATTGAACTTAAGTCAGTTGCGAGTCAATTTCGCGTGCCCAATATTCAGGTTAATAATGGAGGTTGGGGGAATTTTGCAAAGTTAAGGCGGAGCTGGGCTTGAAGCCAACAAATGCTCGTTAAAATTTCTGACCCGAGGGCTGGGTTTGGTAATTCCTCAATCGGAATTCTTGGGCCACACAGTGCAAAACAATTGTTGAGCGATTGTATCGCATACTTTAGATGTAGGTTCCTTTGTTGCTCGATCTTGGGTTTTATGATGCCAAACGGAATGAAATGTCAATTAGCCAACATTAATTGCTAATTGCGTTGCATTGAGACACAGGTACACACTTTCTATTTAATGCAAATACTCGTAAATAGCAATGTCTCAATCTGAGATCGAATGTGAGTCTTTTAAGCTGGCAACCGAACGACCTTGATACTTGCATATTTATGATTCACTTGCATGATTAAATGGAGAACACTAACACGTTTTAAATCCTTGGGTGGTTTTTCGCATCCAACTTACCGCAATTAGTTGGAGCTTCATGATGGATCTGGAATGGGTGGCTCCTCTTCTTTAATTTCTGGCCTTTTGTCACACTTCCGCAAGACGAAAAGAAAGCACTCTTTGTGGCGAGGAGAACTATTTTATCCGCAGGGCACCTGGTACTTCTTGGCTAACCGTTGATCGCACAAATGTTGGGCCCGCCAGGTGCGCAGGCGACTTTATAGCCCCAGCTCCAAAGCGAATCGAAGCTTTAACAACCAGCGGAAAATTTATGTGAGGTGTGTGTTTGGCATGGCTATGCAATAAATGACCAAGTCGAAACTGGAGCGCATCTCTTGATGAAGTAACGAAAGTGACAGGGCAGCCTGCTTTTTTTGCACTCTTTTGTAGACATGAAGAATGGTTGGTATCGATCAGCTCAAGGAACGTGATTTAGTTTTAAATTACTTTTACCGCCTTCAACGGTCCGCTTTTGAATTGGGTGAGCTGGCAACGCTTGAGCCAAGCTTAAAGTTTATGTTTAATCCACGAAAGTCTGGCCAACGGAGCGTATGCGCAATGGTATATGTATTAAATAAGTTGGTTTATAGGAAACATAGCAAGGTTTCACACCATTGTACTTATGGGTACTTTTATAGAATGTTTGTTTTATGGAAACCTTTTAAAACCATTACTTGGTAAAAAGAACTAAAAATAGGTATATTTAAAAACTAAATTAATTAATAAAAAATATATTAAATTCAACCCAAATTATTAACTAGTGCAAGTTTTGCATATCATAAAAATACTGTGTTTTTAATGCAATGAAAGTATAAATAAAATAAAATCATAGTTTATGCTAGAATGAGAAAAACGATTTAGTGCGGGTGCGCAATGTCCCCCCAAAGGTCCAATATATATCACAGTTAGGCATGTCAAAACGGAAAGTCAGCTCCAGTCCCTCTTGAAAGTCCAAATCCAGCTCTAGGTTATTCCACATCCTTCATGAGACTGATGGCTACAGCGCCAATCAGGCCGCAAACTCCCATAACGTTCAAGGGCAGCAAGGGATCAATGTGCTCCTGCAGAGGCAAATACGGATTGGTAAAATGATGATAACGAAGGTAAACGATTTGAAGGACCCACCAGATGCCAGAGGAAGGGCACTAGGATTAGGGCAACGCCCGATGCCAAGTTGCCCATGCCAACGCCAAAGTTGCGAACGATGGTGGGATATTGCATCGCGGTGTAGGTCGGAATGATGGCATTGTTGGCGCCAATGAGGCACTTGGCTGAAAGAGTTTATAGCCATTGAGGGATTGCTTTTGTTAATGAAGTCATGGGTACAACTTACCTATGGTGGCCAGTGCAATCACTCCCGTTTGGCTTGGCATTAGATTCGTGGCCAGACAGCAGATGCCAGGTAACAGCATATAACCAATAAGACTTCGTCGTATTCCCACCTTCAAAACCACCAGGATGCTAATGCAAATGGACACGGCTTCCACGGTTCCAGCCACGGCACTGTTTATGTATATATTGCCACCCAAGTTATTCAGGTGCAGAGTGAGTCCAAAGTAGATGATGATCAGGGTGAGCCAGATGACCAAAGTGAGGCAGGTGGTGCGCCAATACTTGGCGCTGAATACCACCAGCAGGGGATTCACATGACCACTGGAGCTTGGATCTGGTGCATCCGCTTCGGCTGCCTTCGCCTCTTCAGCTGTTGATTCTGGTGGAGATTGGACCGCCCGCGGTACCGCCGCCTCGAGGGTCTTGCGATAGTTCCCAGGCAGACTGCCGCTGGTGCCGTTCGTTTTGGCCGCTCGCTCAATTAGATTGCACAACTCATCCAAGCGACCCTGGGCCAAAAGCCAGCGGGGCGACTCCGGCAGCCAATACCTGAAAGGGATGAAAAAGGGCGGTGGGAATCAATGTCATGCAATGGTATTTATTGGCTGTTAGGAATTTTTTCATTTGATTTCGAAAGCGGTCAGCTAATGTGGCTTCCTTTGGCCCGCTCTGCACCCAAGGATAAACACTGAGGAATTCACTGGACAGGGGTCTCTTTGTCCCTGCCGGAATCTAATTGATCTCACGCATTGTGTTGTGCTCGGTTTTCTGTTGTCAATTCATTTAGTTGACTGCCCGCTGAAAATGTTTACGCTTTGAAGTTGAAATGTGTTCGGCAGAGGACAACCAATTTAAGCTACACATAGAATCTAGGGTTTTCAGCTTAAAACATAGTTTAGTTTAAGCAATAAAATTTTTTTCCCTTGCTATAATAATTTCTAAATAAATATCAGTAATTTTAACGCAAAACTTGAACTAATTATTAAGTAGGTTTGGCTTTCCATTTAAAGCTAAAATATATCAATTGTGTTAACAAAAAACTGTTGGCCGTCACGTGCATTTTTACTTGTTTGTAAAAACTATGCCCCATACAATATACTAAAATTGTTATGAATGTAATTCAAATGAACTATAACGTGTTTATTCATACAATAAATCCGCTTAATTAAATTAAATATCATTAGAGCATTTATGAATACGCCGCCCAAAGCGGAGTGCATAAAAAGACCTCGATTTCCCTCCAGCAAATGTTCGTGTTACCAAATAACCGCTTCATAATTGGACACCCAGGATTCCCCCTACCGGACTTACCAAATGCTGAGCATGATTAGCCAGGGAAAGGAGATGGCCAGCTGGAGGTGCCGCCAGTCGCGGATGAGGTAGGCCAGTCCGGCGGAGAGGACGTACGAGATGGCCACGGGCAGAATGTTGAGAATGCCGATTACGGTGCGCCACTTGCCGGAGACCAGCTCCACAACCAGTACGAAGCTCACAACAGTCACGGTCATTGATGCGAATCCAATTATAACACGTAGCGACATGAACATGGCCACCGATGTTGAGAAGGCCAAAATTCCACCTGCAACGGGGAGCAGAGAACGCAGTCGGTGGCCAAAAGGGCGGCAGGCGGTGCGGAATGTCAGTGGCAAGGTCGGGCACGTAAATAAGAGTGTAAAGTCAATTAAAATCCCAGCCCGGCAGCCCAGGGAGCAGGACAAATGCAAATGCAGCTGTTAGCCCAACGATTCACGGACAAAGCTGCATATAAATGACAATTAGAAAATGAACCCCACTCAAATTGCCATGGTCAAAGGGAATCCTCGAACCCCGAGACCTTTTTCGGACAGTTACCATTTCAGCTGTTTAATTTACACAGGTGAAAATAGATGAGACACCTACGTCTTTTGGAAAATCATTAATTAGTTACTTTAAACCGGTCTTAGAAAATATAGGATCTTTTGGGTTATCTTGAAAAGTGTTTTGATTGATTCGGCTTTGGAATATATAAAGAATTATTACTGACTAAATATCATAATTAGTTGATGGACTCCTACATGTTCACAGTTAAATTATGGTAATATTTCTACTTTGAAATTCTTATAAACAAAAGGTTTCTTTGTTTGCATAGTTTTACTCACCAAAAACGCTTTGAATAGTGACGAATGCCATTAGGGTGTGTCTCCTGCCAAAGCGGTCGGATATCCAACCACTAAGAACCGCTCCTGCTGCCGCTCCCACCAGAAAACAGGTCTCCACCAAACTGAGGATGTCCCTTCCGCAAACCAATTCAAATTCCTGCACCAAGGTTTTGGCCGTTCCTTCCTCGTCGGAGAACTCAAAGTGCTGGCACTTTCGGTAGCCCAACTCGGTGGCATTTGCCGGCCAATTAATGAGTTGGTTATCCTCATAAGTCACCTGGGAATAGTCCATGTCGAGGAGGAGGCATCCATCAGTCGACTGACTGAGGTTTCGCCATTCGGAAACGCTCATCTGCAGGAGATTATCCGGTCGGGCACACCAAAAGTCTTTGGGAGCAATCTATGAAAAAAAAAAATGTAAAAAACTCTTAATGGAAAACGTTCAAACCTAATAATTTAACTGTAAATTAAAAATAAATACAAGCAAAACAAAAGTGTACAATAATAACTAGCAGCAATCAGTTCCAGACCGAATACATATATGATATACGGGAGTGAAGACCTTCAAACAATCATGAACCTATCTTTATTTGCCTAATTAGCTTTTTCCCCAGATTGTGTTTTAGCTCCCGATAAGAAGTAGAATTTATCGCATTCGCTGCTTTTAATACCATTTATAATGTGATTGCTATTCAAAATATTTATAACCAGTTTCTTAAAATTAAACCAAATGTTACTTGTCTTAGCAATCAAATGTCATGCAAGCTCTATTAATTCAGACTTTCATAAACTCATAAATAACTTTGCATACAAAACTCACAATAAAAATCTAAGAAACACAGAAATTCAGTAACAAGTTCTCATCGGAATACTGAAGTTTGGAATGCTTCAGCATTCGATTCACGTTTGCAATTACGTGAACTACATAAGACATTAACTCTTCCTAACTTCCACGGCGGCCAATCAAAGTTCGAACGCGAAGTGCCTGCGGAGCTATAAATCGAATCGGAGATCGGGCGATTCGGAAACATTTCGCCAGACACAATTTAAATCGGTAGTTAAACCGTTTAAATTTCTTCCGCATGTCGATTGCGGTTTGCTCGTAGTTAGTTTGCTTACAGCCAGTCCCATTTGTCATTTGGGTTTCGATTGCAAAATGTTTCGTGACAGGTTAACACGGCTGAAATTACTGAACGCTGTTACAACACGAACAGAAATGTGCGGCCGTCTGATTGATGATCGATTCAATGAAAGCGGCTTATCAATCGCAGGAGGCGAAAGGGTTGTTAACCACCGCCCACTCCGAATCGCCGCCCCTCGCTAACAAGTGCAACTTACAACAGGTTGATAGCCTCGGCCGACATTGAACGTGCCTCAATTAAGCATTTAGTATGCGCACCGAGGAAATGGTTTCAAGTTCAAGTTGAAGTTTAACAAGAAAGCGAAACATTTTCAATAATTAACGGCGGTAAAAGGCGTGCTCTGCTGATTGCGTTTTTTTTTTTAAGGCTTTTTCCCCATTTTCTCTCAGGTTTTATGCCCGGGTTTTTCCTGCCAACGTTGATCGCGTGGCAGGTTCTGATGTCATTTGTGGCCGCCGTGGCAGTTGTTCTGTTGCCACTCGGTTACATGTCACGTTTCAGGCATTTGCATAGCGAAACAGACTCTCGGCCAACAATGGAATTTTGTGCCACAACGTGGGCAGTTCTCGACTACATGGGCCACATAAATTTCGCTTGATAAATTGGATTTACAGATATGCACGAGCTGCACCTGAGAGTGCGCTCTATTTTAATGACAGGCTGGCACACTGGGTAAGGCTCAAATTAATCATAACCCTCGGATTATAATCTCATTTGCAGAAATATTTTTTTACCACTTTAAGGAATTTTATTGCTTTCTAATAACGTAATGCTCAGAAGTCACTAAGTGGGGGATTTACCAGGTCAAGCACCCTTGCTAAATGTTTGCACAATGCAAATCTCAATTAAGATATTCAACGATTAGCACGATTAATGACAAAACATGAACTATTGTTTCTTAATAAGATAATGACATATCTTAATTGATTGGTTCGGAAAACTTTTTATTGAATTTGCATTCAATTGTTTAGTGAAATCTTAGTAAAGTTTATTAACTCAAGCGTGGCATGAGAACAATTTCCTGTATTCTCAAGAAAAATTTTACTATTGTGTTGTTTAATTTATTTACCTTTTCATCTAATCTGTCCAACTTGTCACAAATGACATTTCCTATGTATGTACATATGTACCTACGTTCCCAACACTTTGAATATAGTTACACCTAATTTGTTAAAATAATTGTTTTGAATAATTAAATGTGTGTGATGGGTAAATTATATGGTTAACGTATTGTTACCAAAAGTAGATTTTATTTTTATTGCCCTATATATTTTGAAGTTGTCATGACTTTGAAAAATACATTAAAAAACAGATCAAGGCATTGATATTCTTGTAGTTAATTTGCTTTTAAATTTAAATTTATACAATTTAATAAGAAATAGGTTAGTCTTCAATTATCTATTTTATCTAACCTTCTGGAGATTTCGTGTTTGGAGGAAACCGGACAGTTGAGTATAATACAACGTGTATGCGTTTCAGGTGCTCATGGGCGATTATTAACTTAATTGTTACAGGGTCATCTAGTGACCCCAGCTGAGAAAGTATTTAAATTGCCATTTCAAAAGTTAGTTCCAACTCGATTTTATGTGCAGCAGATTGGAGACCAGTGTGCCGGGCTTAATGTTTCTCACAAAAGGTATCTCTGTGCATTTTATTATTATTGTTTAATTAATATATTTAGACAGTTAGCGGTCAATATTGGCCTGTGGCAGAGAGTTACCTTTCGAAGGCAACCTTGGGTTGAATTGAAGTCGGAGTAAACCACCGACACCATCGACACCACCTGATATGGATCAGTTGGGAGTGGAAACTAATTGAAAAGTTATGCCAGCTCGGTGGGAAATCGTGTTGTCATGGTGTCAGACCACAGAGCATAATCCACCGAGCGAGCTGTCGTCTTCACAATAAATAACACAAAGCATGCAATTTGCGGACTTGGCCAATTAAGATACGGTAATCCAACACGAAGACTTTGTCAAATATATGCCATTAAATCGGTGTAAACACATCAACGGATTTTGGGGTGCAGGGCGGGCAGATGGCAAACAAGTTTCGGCCTAAGCCAGTTCAAATTTGTTATTACTCCGCAGGCAATTATTGTGTGTCAATAATTAAGCCCAAAGTGGAACAATTAAAGTGGATAAGTCCAAGGCGCATTTTAGACTGATTAGCTAATTATATTAAAAATAACATAAAGTATAACGGTTTGTGACTAACAAGAAAACATTAAAAGTTAATTTTTCAAAACATTTAGAGGCTACCTGAATTTCAGTTATTTCAATACAAAGAAGCAGTAGCAAAAATATTTAATTATCTCTACAGTTAGGCAACTAATATTTGCAATTAAACAAAAATTGTTTCACTCATTGTTTATCCTAATAAACATTAATCTTTTCTGAAACAGCTAGTTCAATAAACGCATTCGTTGTTCGGCAATAAAACGAATCAGATATTCCCGCTCCCAAATCCGCTCAATGGAACAGTATCTTTTGCGGATCAGTAGGTAGCTGCACACCTTGCAAACAATATATATCGAGAGCGCGAAAACGGGCAACAGGTTTTAGCCGCCCCACTCACACCTGCAATCGGAGTCACTTGATTTCTCGTTATCACGAGCACATTGCTGATAACTGACATTGGGGGAGGCACGGGTATATATTCGTGTTTGTTTTTGCTGGGCAAACAGAACCTTGTCAATTGCGGTTGCGTTGTACTTAAGTAGTTGTCTCTGTTTCTGCCGATGTCGATGTTTGGGCATTGGGCCAGCATGAGGTGGCAGTGGAAGTGCAGGTGGAGTTGGAGGCACTACCCACAATGGCAGGCGATGGAGCGCAACGATGGCTAAGGTGGGTGGCTAGAGGCCGAGCAGTCAACCCGACTCACCTGGAACACGTAGACGAAAATGTGGAAGGTGCAGATGGCCTGGAAGATCGAGAGCAGGGCGCACCAGCGACCCTGCCAGCGGGACAAACAGCCCAGGAGCCGCTCCAGCAGCTTGGTGTGCAACTGGTCCAGCTCCTCCATGTTGCCAGCTTCCAACATGGGCGAGGCCTCGCCATCCGAATTCGCATCCGCCAGCTCCATTTTGTTGCGACTCTAATTGCAACCGTTTGCGCCTTGCGATGCAAGTCAACTGAGTTTAGAACGCTGGCTTTCGAAAGTATATCTTATGAAATTCAAATTGGTTTCAGATGCAAGATTTGGCAGGCCGGTGTTTAATTTTTTTGCTGCTCTGAGGTGTCGAGAGCCGAGAGTGCGTGTGTCAGAGAGATTCGACCGAGTCTCCGGTTTTATGCAGGTGCGCCGTTGTTACAGATTTCCAAGGGGGGCCCTGAGATAATGACCAACCAGCAGACACCGCGATTTTACGATAGCCAAATTACTTGTTAACACTGTCCGTCTTCACGCCCGGCCAAGTGAGTCATTAAAGAACCACTTGATGACTTTATTACGTTGGACCGACGACCTTTTCCGGGGAGTGCCTTGACCAACTCCTCCCACAAGGCTGATGCACACTCTGCGACACGTCGAACTCATTTGGTATATCCCGCCAGCATAAAGATATCTTTATAGTTCCAAACTTTCTTTAGTTTGACTGCCGTTGGTAATCTTATCTGCGACCGTCTATTTTTGATTGGTTCATGTAAATATGCCGCCAAAGTTTTAACTGCTATCAGAAGTGCTTGGTTATTGTCTATTTCGCTACCAATACAGTCCCTATAGATGATTAAAAACTTTTATAGTTTGGGCTGATAAAAGTGTTTGATTGTTTTGATTGCTTGGGTTTTGCCTTTGATATTATTATTGGAAAAAGACTAGACACTTAAAAACCAATCATATTATCTACAAGTGCATTTGGGTAAACTGTTGCTTTAACAATTTGTGACAAACAAATTTAAAAAATACTACCAAAACAAATGATTAAACACTTCCTCCCTCTTGCATCACAATAATTCCTAAGGTTAACCAATCTCTATAGTTATTCCCCAATTTATTGCCTCTCAATTGATATAATTAACCTCTGCAAAATAACTGTGCTCAGTTTGGCCAACTTCTTGGGTTCTTGAATGACTCTTGCAATTTCCATTGGTTCTTGCCAAGCTCTATTGCCCACCGATCCACCGATCCATCGTACCATCGATCGTGTGTGTCAAGGTCGAGTGTGGTTTTTGCTCGGCTCCCTTTGATTTGGCGTTATTTTTTGTAGGTGAAACATTGGCACGCTAGGCATTGATTACCCTGATTACCTTTGTCAGCGAATCATCGAATCATAGGCAAATGATGCACACGCAACCTGTCCACCGATAAATGGCTTCTAAAGTGGCTGTGACAGCCTCCCTGAAAGTTGGTCAAAGGTGCTCGAAGGCCGCGAATTTTTTTCGAGGGGCATTCAAACAGTATTTCATAAATTGGAGCCAAGTGATCTCAAAAAAGTGTGGTCGAAATCGGCATGCGTTTTGGCGAGATTGTAGGCCAGTCAACTCAAGTGGCTGCTCTCCAAAGTGTTATCAATTGTTTTGGTCGAAATCGTAAGTCACTTTACGCCAACTCATTTGATAACGTTTAGGCAATGCCAAAACATGTTTCCCTTTTCACCAGGTAATTACTTCATTGTCAACACCTTGCATCCCAGAGATACACAACCAATTAGCCGACTATTATTAGTGCAAATCACTCACAGACTTCCACAGCTTTCAATCAATCAATCAGTTGCACAATGTTTTCTTCCGGTCTAAGCCCTAATTTCCCCCTTTTCCCCGCGAAGGGGGGCGTGTTTCGTTTTAGGGCGGTGGGTTTACCTACCATAATATTTGATTTCGATGTTTTTGGCGACGCAATCAACTGGGCAAATATTTGCCAAGCCATAAAACCGAAACTCACCTGGAAGACAAACATGAACAGGTGGAAGGTGGTGGGCAGCTGGAAGAGGCAAAGGAGCAGGGTCCACAGGAAGCTCCAGCGGGTGTAGTGTCCCAGGAAGTTCGATATCACGTCGCTGTCCGCATCCTGGCTGAGGTCCTTGCCAGGCGGCGACTGCTGTTGCTGTTGCTGCTGATGCTGCTCCCTCTGCTCCGTCGGCGGCGGCTTCTTCAAGTCCTCGGAGTAGCGACGAAAGTCCAATGCTATCACACTGATTTCCGGGGTTTTCGGACCGGGCCTTGTCTCGCGATATCCGCCATAGAGGTTCGCCTCCAGGCTTCCTCTGCCCTTGTCTCGCGGTCCGCCCACACAATCGAAATTCAAGGAACCGCGACGCAACACGCCACTCATGTTATTTTTCTTCGAACGATATCTAAACGATTTTCCAAGACTGCCGATTTTAGCAGCAATCGATCGATTGAAAATGAATTAAACCCGCGTAGATCGTTGGTATCTCAGCCGTCGGCGTCGATCTGAAACCGTTAAATGTTCGGCGGCTCTGTTATAAGCACTCTGTAAATCTGCAAAAGAGCGAAAGCTACTGCCGCGGCATTGCCAGCATCGAAAAAGCTCAACTTAAAGCTTCGACCACCCCACGATCGATCAAATTGGCATAGTCCCTCGTAAGCTTTCACTCGACTTGAGTGAGTAACTTCCTTCGAGCCTTCGAAGCCCCACAAAAAAACCAATAGATTTCAATTTATTTATTTGTTTATATTTTATTTTGACACTATAATTGCGTTTGCTTTGGTAATTTTGATTTACAACAAGTTTCATAAATTTATTTCAAGTGTTGATCGCAACACCGTCGAGCAAGTAATCTTACTTCAACTTAACAATTAATTTAATTTTGCTTTAGATTCTCGGGTATCCGTTTACTTGAGGCTTAAAAAAATCTCTTACCTATGACAAATACATAACGAAGCTGTTTTGATCTTAGCGGGTAAGTACAATAGGCAACATAAATAAACGTAAAATAAGCGAAATAAAAGTACGGAAAATTATACAAAACACAAATGAGCAATTAACAACTTGGTAGGTAAGTACAACAAGTAATTCAACAGGTTGATTTTTCTAATTCCATTGTTTTCCTTTTCACTACATATACATACACAAACGCACACATATCCATATACACATAATTGTATACATTGTTAAATGCATTATATTGGAAATTTATTTTCTTCTTTTCATATACATATAATCTTTGATGACCTCAAACAGTAAAACTCCTTGTATGTTCTGTGTCCCTACACACAAACAGACATATATACAAATCCATAATTGACCGATACTTAGAGACTGATCTGTTGTATATAAGTTTAGGGGTACGCGTAGACTAAGGATTAATTGACTACAATTACTAGAGATTACAATTTGACGCTTGAGTTCGCCATTATCCTTTCTCTGGAAGATTTAGCTCCTTTTCTTATTGATCTCGTATTTGAAAAACATTTATTAATAGACAACAAGAAGACGACGACGACGAGATTATGCATACGTTGAGATATTGACAAGACATATTGACAACATTATAATTTTAGTTTGGTTTTTCTTAATTTGTGTTTGTCTGTGCGAACATTGATTCGTTTTTAAATTTAGTGGCAATACAGAACTTGTAATGCCTTATTTTTGGGGTAATTTACTGGGTAATTTTAAAGATGTTGATTTGATAAACCTACCTTAGGGAGGAGCAGTAATTTGTTAGGAAATAAAAATAATTAAAACAATTGAAACTAAACGCGAATTAAAAATGAAAAACATTGAATTTTGAAGGACTTTTTAAATTATCTTATAAAATTATAAAATTATGTCAATTAATTATTTACTTTAAAGAAAGTTATGATTAACTAACTATATTTAAGCCCTTCCTAAGGTTGGTTCAGATTTATTGGCTTCGATGGGAACCGAAGAACTTAAGCTACTTCGAGTTTTTATTGAGTGACTTTTGGGGTGTTGTGTGTTCAGTACTTAGACTACGACATAAACTACAAGCCATTGTTGTTAGTTAATTGTTAAGATACATACTCACTACGCGCTACGCAAACAAGGTCCTGCCTGACATGTGACATTCTCTGGCGAATTGGCAATTCTCTTGGACATTCATCGAGTCGATGCCATGAATTTAAGGTGGCTTCAGGCGGTGGATATGTCGGGGGGCGTGGCAGGTTGGGGGTTAAGTGGGGGAAGCAGAGCGACATCGGCAGCGGGATCTACTCTGACTTCTAATCGGCATACTTTGGACCAGCCAAAATACTTTGTTCCTCGAGGGATGAGCAGGTTGGGTTCGGCTGGACTGGCGGTCATTACACCTGCTTGGCGGCATTGACATTTGCATTGGATCCAGCCTGGTTATCTGCCTTCGAACGCACTGCGGTCTCGGGCAGGAAGAGCACTACAAAGCCGCCGAAAATGCTCCAGGCGGTTAGCAGGGTCATCAGGAGGTGACCCTCTATTTTGTTCTGAAAGAGATTAATTAGGGGTTTTCATTACAATTTTTTTTAGGTGTTATTTTTTAGCCATATAGACTCACCAGCAGCGAAAGATAGGGTGTGAGAATAAGGGCCAAACCGGCGGCCACATTACAAGCTCCCACGCCCACGTTGCGTATGGGCGTTGGATAGAGCTCCGCCGTATAGACCGGCATTATGGTGTTGCCCGCGCTGATTGTGAACTTGCCCATCATCAGGAATGTGATCTTCAGCCAGAGGAGGTCCGCCTGCCCCTCGGTGATCGCCGCACAGCAGCAGGCGACGCCGGCACAGATCAAAGTGGCGCAGAAGAGCCACTTCTTGCCCACCTTGGTGATGATGTACATGGCCACGGCGATGGCGGGTATTTCGACTAGGCCAGCTAGCGCCTGCAAGGGAGGTGGACACAGAACAGAAATTATGGGGCTGAGTCGGAGCAGGGCAGGCGAAAGAGATGTCAGCTGTCGGCGGGGCGCATTAAATCAGAGCGGCATCAAAGGTGCGACCGGCGTTGTCAAAATAAATTATGCAATAAATTAGCTGAGGAGCTCGCTGGCATGCCCATTGTCGTTTGCTGGACAGTGGTGAGCGATTGGCTCGGAAAAGTCTTTAAATCAAAGATTTATTTCACTGTACAGTAAGCTAATGAAACTAATGCTAAAACAAGAATTTGAAAACATATCAGCCTAATTAACTAAGATCCTTATACAGCATTTCTAGTATTTATGTAATTTCAGTTCACACTATTATGAGAAAATTTACTTTCAATATTTTAATGTATTATTGTGCTTTTTAAATATTTTCTAAATATTTATGTTAATGAAGCATTTATGGTATTCTAAAAATGACAGGAAAAACAAATGTCTTAGGCATGTAAATGTTCTCTTTAAATTCTTGACCCCACTTATTCCATCAAATTTTTCGAGCAAAAAGAAAACAAACAAGGAGATCAGACAACATTAAGCGCCTTAACATTCGAAAGCAATCAAATCCCGAACAAATGCCAAACATGTTTAGCACATTGTGTTCTCCAAGGCCCGTCAGCACTGTGCTCAACATTCTGCTGGCCAAATGCCAGGTGGAGGGGCTAAAATGGCTGCGGCTGGCGCTGCGGCCGCGACAGGATTTATCTACTATATCGTAGATGAATGGGAGGTGGGAGGTGGAAGGTGGGCGTGGGCCAGTAACATCATAATTCGATTGCAAACACATTTTCACACCAGCGTCCAGCGGTCGAGGAAGCACACTTGACATCGAACAGACATTCTTCAGTCAGCGGCTGATGGAATTGCTGACAAATCCAATTAGGCGGCCATCAGCATCAACCGAAATTTGTGGACCACTTGGCACTTGCTAAACGCTTGATTGAACCTATATGCCGACAATATTTCCGATGAAGTTCGCCCTAAGTGGATTTGCCTGCGCCCACGCTGCGTATACTTAATTCCAAGAAGTAAAACTCACCGAATTCAAGTAGACATTGCCGCCGAAGGAGCTCATGTTGAGAATAATGCCGTAGTAGACCAGGTTCATGGTGAACCAGATGCAGAAGAAGCAGATGGAGATGCGTCGCAGGTAGCTGGAGCGGAAAAGGTAGGTGAAGTCCTGCGTATTGCTCCCCTGCGTCGGCGGAGTAAGTTGGTAATCGGCGGGCAGCTGGCGACCGTTGAACTTTGCCGCCGACTCGATGATCCGACGCACCTCGTCGATTCGACCCTTGACCAGCAGCCAACGCGGCGATTCCGGAACCACAAACCTGTCGTACATGAGTACCAGAAAAAATAAAAAACATTTAAAAAAGAAACCAAACGAAATATATCTTGGAAAACATGTGCCGCTGAAATTATGGCACTCTGTTTATAGTAGCTGCACACCCACGCTCTGTTTTCCCATTTATTCACAAGTCTGTGATCTATATACACATGTTTTTATGTTCTTCTTTGTTTACCTACTAAATCGATCAAAGACTCACCAGAGGAAGCAGAGAAAGATCCCCGGAATTCCGATGCACAGCTGGAGGCGTTGGTAGTCCTGGGTGAGATACGCCAGGCCGGAGATGATCATGTAGGAGATTGGCAGTGGAAACAGGTTGTACATCCCGGCAATGGTTCGCCACTTGCCATCCACGTACTCGATGGCCAGGATCAAGCCCGAATAAGTCACCGATACCGAAACCAGACCGAGAAGAGCTCTAAGAGTCAGGTAAAGCTCAAAAGAGCTGCAGATGTAGAGCCACAGCCCTGAAAAGGATATACACACCGATATTATTTATAATACTAACCAAAATATTAGGAATAAAATAAGTTGAGTTTACAATAATCCTTTTGATATCACTCATACGACTGGTGGTACCTCCAATGATTAAATAAGCTAATTGGACTGATTTAATTGTTAAACTGAATTCTGCCATATTATTAATATTATATTAACAAAGTAAAGACTTTGATGCAATAACAGTTACCTCGTTCAAACAGCAACAATAATCACTCAAAGGAATTTAGTGATAATTAGCTCATAAGTCAGTTCAACGTGCATTAAAGGAATTTCCTCAGAATTCGCATGCAATGCAGCCTCGCAATTAAAAGCAAGTCCGCACACGTGTCCACCCTCAATTCCAGTCCCTCATTAGTAATGTCCTTTCGAATGCAAATTTCAATCATACACTGTGAGAGATTTAATCAACAAGGACAACAAGGCTGGCTGGCAAGAGCCCGGCAGCCACAACTGCAGCCCAGCAACTGCGACTGCCACCAGCCACCAGCCACCTGCCACCTGACAGCCCGACCCACAACCAAAAACGCACGGAGGGCCACTCGATGTGCTCGTGCTGACCCCCCGACATGGCCAAGTTCACAGTCACCGGAGGAGGACATCGTCAGGGCCAATGTCGCTGTGACTTCCGTATATTCAGGGGTATATACCCTATGCACCTCTCCACAAAGTGACATGTGTGTGATGGGGATGGCTGGATGGATGGATGGATGAATGGGGATGGAATGGCCTTTGTGCCCCGAGAGCCACTCACCGAATATGGTCTGCAGCACGGCCGATATGAAGAGCATTGTCTTGCGTCCAAACTTATCCGATAGGTAGCCGGAGATGATGCCACCTGTTGCCACGCCCAGCAGGAAGAACATCTCGGCCACGTTCTTCAGGTGCTCCTTCTCGCACACCAGATCCCACTGCGATGTCCAGGTGTTCCCCACGTTGTCGTTCGTCTCGTACTCCCACTTCTCGCAGGACACCAGCTTTCTGTCTAGGGGTTTCTGGGAAAACAGATATATAGTACTTAGTACGTGATACTTCATAGAAACTTGCATATCGAGAAATATTAAAGAAATGTTAACATAATGATATTGAGTGAATGAATTGAGGAAATGGATAGTATCCAAAAATATCCAGAGAAATATATACAATTCATTGTATTTATTTTATAGTAAGGACAAATCTTATTCTTACCTTCCAATCTGTTGGCAGCGCGGTCTCATTGCCCGCCTGGCTCCAGTCGATGCCCTCCCACCTCTGGCAGTTGTCGACGGATCCGCTCACGTTCCGCCAAAGGGCCACCGGCATCTGCTTGAGTTCCGCTGGCCGCTGGCACCAGAAGTCCTTGTTGGCCGCCTGGTAGATGGACGAGGATATGTGGAAGGTGTTGGGCACCTGGAAGAGCGACAGCAGCACCGTCATCAGCAGCTGCCACTTGCCGTAGTGGCCCATCAGGTCGCCGATCACGTCGGTCTCGTCCTCGTCGTCCGACGGATCCAGTCCGCTGACCGCCGCCGCCGCTGCCGGCGACTGGGGCGTCGCTGCCTGCTGTTTGGGCGGGATGGTGGGGCTGGTGGTGTTGGACGCGGTGGTGGGGGACGGTTTGCCGGAGTCGTGCATGATGCACAAAGGAACTGCAAAAAATCAAGGGGAAAAATAATTAGAAAATCAAGTCAAGTGAAAAGATATTGTTTATCTGTAAAACGTGTACTATACAACTTGTCATTGGCCAATAAATTTATCATGGAATGTTTTGTGTGAATCAGCGCTTTGTTTAAAAATTGATATAATTTGTATTTAAAGGTAAATCAAATCCATTGTAATTTGTTGTCTACTTATAAATATAACATTTGTAAACACTTTTAAGTAAACAAAAACTAGTAAGACATTAAGCTTTGATTAGCTTTCCTTAAGTTTTTCCACAGATGCAGATTTTTCAGCTTCTGCCGAGCGGAGCATGCAAATAATTGACTTGATAGATGCCTGCGGTAGGGATTTGGGGGGGCGGGGGAATTAATTTTATTGCCCGTGTCAGGAGCACACAAAGGAGCAATTAGTTAAGTGGTCAGTGACTGGACATAAACCAACTCGGAATCTCGAAGTCTCGAAGTCGGAGGCGAAAGCGAAAGCGAAGGGCTCTCAGAAACAGTCCGACTGCAGTCAAGTCAAGCGGCTCTATTTCATTTATTAGGACGGCCCCCGCTCCCCGCGGAGGATTCACGAGTCCGGTCATTGGTCAACCTGCGTTCGATGGAATTCAATCACGTTGGAGGCGATTAACTACAGCAGCCGGAGACCGGCAAAAGTTGCTGCTGAGCACCGAACACCGAACACCGAGCGAACTGAGCTCCACAGCTCTACAAAGTAAAAGAATAATAGCCAAGATTTAATGTAATTGCGTTGGGTTGGGCGGCTAAAGGGTGGGGTTTGCCCCAGCCACTTTCGTGTCCTTTGCTCAGTTTGCTAGTTGAACTTTCCCCCTCCAACCTCATTCCCATCCCCAATCCTCTCCGGCATCCTTTCTCCGCTTTGCCCTGTTGGCGTTTTCTTTTGTGGCCACTGGCCAGCGGGCTTTTGTAGCGCATTGGCTTTGTCTGGGATTTGGCCCGAATGGGTCCACATACACTTGTACAGTGTGTAGTATTGCTGAGCCCGGGGCCAAAGTGGCCGAAGGTATCAATGCCCAAAAGTAGGCAGCGGACTTGCGAACTTTTCGACTTTAGTTAGCCGGCCGGACTTAAATGTTTAATTCTTTTCAGTTGATTTACCAACGGGGTTTTATTAAGCAGAGTTAAGCGATTTACCACACGCAAAGAAGGGGGATCGGGTGGAGTCTAAGTAGAAGCGAAGAAAATTTGGGGATTGTTTAGTAGTTTGTGGGGAAACTTGTCAGAAAACTGAGCTTATAGAACTAAACAGGCTTAAGGCGTTTGCAGAAGTCTATAACAAATGATCGATATAAAGAATATACCATATGAGCAAAATGGTACCAAATGTTAATATTCTATTTAATAAACATATTTATAAAAGTCATAATTATATATATAAAATTCTATAAATTTAATGCAACTCAACAACTTTAATAAAATTCCATAAGTTAATCAACCAATTCGCTTGATTCACTGACCATACAAATCTATGCTATGTATATATTGCTATTGCAAACTCTATTGTTGATGCACAATCGTATAAATCAATCAAACTCCGTTATTCAGATGACTTGTCAACAGCGGGGATATCCCTGTGCAGCCCATGAATCAAACACTCGCACATATCAATCAGCGGAGCCAACATTTATGGCACTCGAGAGTTGAATTTGCATACGAGTGTGTAGAAAGGATGGCCAGGCGCCGGGGGGCGTGTCCAAGCCCCCGGAAGAGATATTCCATTTAGGAGGGGATTTAGCATATGTGGCCAGTGGGCAGTGCACCGCACCACTGTGGCAGCAGAAGCAGAAGCAGAAGAAGAAGCAGCAGCAGAGGCAGCAACAGCAGCAAAAAGCTGCGGCTGCGGCAGTAAAATTCACGCCATACGCCGCACGTGATAAGCAGTTGAGCGCACATTTTCACGCACTTGTAAACAGGAATAAGCGAAGCGTGTCCGCGAAAAGCCGCGGGCTTGTGGATTGCTCTCCCCATCCACTTAGGATCCCTATCGTGCTATCGTGCTGCCTGGCAGGATAATTAATTATCAATTTTATAGGCAACCCCCGCTGGATGACACCCAATTTGCAGTTGGGCTTAGCTTTTGGACAGCGGAGTTACTGTGCGGCTGCTGCCACAGATGCCACAGATGCAACTGCTGCAACTGCTGCAACTGCTGCTGGTGTCCGCCGAAGGTCGTCGCGATGTCGTGTGGGCACAACGGCTCAATTTCAATGCTATAAACTACGTCGCTACGTCGCCGTTTACCTTCAACTCGCGGCGCACATGGCGTATGTGCAATATCATGGCACGCTGAAAATAACGCTAATTGCATTCTGCAGCTGTTGTCGCCCTGGTCACACCCCAGCTGGCCATCCCTTCCCCATTTTTTCCATCTCGGTCCCCTTTCGCTAATAATTGCTAGTTTGACAAATCGACAGGTTTCGAGATTAAAATAATTTATTAAACTAATTGGGAGCTGTCCAAGATTGATTACTTTTGTGTCTTCGGACACGCTGTAATTGCAATTGAACGGATTTTAATTAACGGATTTATATATTTTAATCGTTTAATCAAAAATCTAGGCTAAAATAATTCTTTAATAATTGGACAGGCAGTAAAGATTTATCAATCTTTTAAATAAGTTATTTTAAAGAGCAACTACTCAAAAATGCCAAGGTGAGCAATTTATAATATTATAACAGCTTAAGATGTTATAAGCTATTAAGTTGATTGAATATATATTTTAATATGCACATTGATATTTAATTGCTTTTATAAAGAATACGATTTTCCAGTAATAGGTGAATGTTCTACTTCATCAATCGCGAATCTAAGCGACAGGTAGCCATTAAAAGCAGAACTGGTAACTGATGCAAAAGCAAGTCGGTCTAGTTCGCGCTCTTTCTCGATTTGTATGCATATCAGGGGTTCATTGTGCTACCAAAGATAGAGCTTTATAGACAGTTTCACACCCAATGCTAATCAAGCTGCAATGGCCCATGTCCGATTGGTAATTACGTTTACATTGCAGTCATAAATAACGAATTATAATGCCATGCACGTTCATAAAAATGCATGCTCATCCCGCTCCCTCCGATGTCCACAGATGTCTGCAAGCTCCCAGTTTCCCAGGCAGATTTTCCAGCAGTGGGGGCGGATGCTTCTGGGCGCGATCTCTTGACACGCTCCACCAGCGATGGGGCGCCTCAATTGAACACGATCCACACAAGCTTCTCTAATAATGATTTGTTTCAATTGAAAAGTCAATGCCAGAGCTCTCTCTCCCACTGGCCATTAATAATTTGCTTATTCGTGGTTAATTAAAAATAGCAACGAAAAAACGGCGCCAAAGACAATTGACAAAGGGTAAAAAGAGAGTGCGAGGTTTATTCGATACTCATATTTGCATAAATATGCGAGAAATTGCTCCCGCAGGTCGTAAAATATTAATGAATATTAAATTTAATTAAGAAAGAGTTAAGAGTTTCTCTCACATTCAAGTTAGTTCGTTTTTCACACGCATATTTCTAAAGCAAGCTAAGTGGAGGAATTTCAGATGACAGACTTTAAAGCCCGCAGGCAATAGAAACCCCTTTTTATTTATATTTCTTTTTATTATAGCTCTTCTGGTTTTACATGTTTACTATTTGCCATAAAATGTTTATTATTTCACTTAAAGTAAATCGCTAAATTTTTGCTTAAACTATAATTTAATAAGTGAGTGGGGAAATAGCGCCTTTTATAAAAGTTCTAAAGAAGGCTTTTCTATTAGGTTATAAAAAATGCATTTTGGGAAATATGCATTTAGTTATCATTTACTTTTACTTCTCCCAAATGCTTTAGCTGAATTTCTCGTGCAATTTAAGCAGCACAATGACAAATCGAGGGGGTTTCCCCAGACAATTACGACTGGCCGAGTGTAAATAATCAGAAATGGGAAAGAATCTCGTAAGCGTCATAATCACAAAAGCCGAAATGTGCTAAATATTTTTAATACAAAGGCAAGCGTTTATCTCTGGGGAGCCACGAGATGGGCTGCGAGAGGCAGACAAATTGCCGCTGTAATTAGCCGTCATGCATATAAAACTGCATTCACTTTCATACCAACGATAGAAAGGAGGAAAAAGAGTGAAGCGGTGGAAAAGGCTGGTTGATGGTGGGTGGTTGGGTGGTTGGGGGGTTTTTAATGATAATGATGACGCCTGCATCTGCATTTGTGCAAGCATGGCTCGGTGACGTTGCCAGCTAATTTGCACATTTATAGGATTTGATTTGTTTATTATGCATTCGCCTCCGGGGAGGAGCACAAAAGGGGCGGGACGGGCGGAACGGGCGGCATGGCACAGAGAGTGCTGCCAAGTGGGTAATAGTAATCTTCAGACACTTGCACGCAGCAACGAGCTGCGCTTCCGTTGCGCCGACAAGTGCCCTCAGTGCGGATGAGCGATGACGATCTGGAAAGGGATGGGAGTTGCCGGGGCGGGACGACATCCCGCCGGATGACGGCCCGTCATCGTAAGGCAGTATAGCTGTATAGCTATATAGCATTGGCCAGCCTCACTTCATCACTTGTCAGACTAATTGCAGCTGTATGACAGCCGCTTTTCGGATAAGTAACAGCAGCCGTATCGCACCACGGGGCGTATGCGCAACGTCTGGCGAATTGCATTTAATGCGACGGCCCGCGGCGATTGCGAATAGTTTGTATTTCAAATTCGATTTTCGCCCGCGCAACGCACCATCCTAATTGTAAACAATTCAACCTAAACTTTCGATAGTGCCAATTTGCGAACGAACGTGCTTGAACCGACCGTCCACGGTTCGATCTTTCGGTGGGTGAAATTTACGGCTTCACGCCTTGCCATAAACACAATCGATTTTGGCACTGGGTAAACAAATTCGAAAACGAATCCATAAACAACACGAATTCAATCTGGCCCCTTGAGCCAGTAAACTAATGCGACTAATTGCGAAGTAAATCAGCCGACAAACGATCTGAATTTTTTCTCAATGTTTCGCCCAAACCTTGTGTTTTATGACTGTTTTCCGGGGAAAAACAAAGCCAAAGAAAATATACGAATCGAATATCAATAGACTTGCTCCTCGCCCAAAGAAAACTTTGACTCTCATTAAAAGGCGGATTTTAGGCGTCATAAACTGTGCGAAAAAGATGTCTGGGAAATTTAATTCAATTTAATTGATAGTCGCTAATTAAATGTTGTACTGACCGGAAAAAATATTCATATTAACCATATATGTATTTTCCAGAAACCTATTAATTGGGTTGGTTATATCTAGAAACACTGAGTTATTTAATTGTTAGCTTCTACAATTAAAAAGAAAATTAAGCAAAAGGACTAACATATTTTTCTGAATTTAATCTCAGACTAATGAGCAATACAAAGTACCATAAATTGCCCCCAAATAAAGACAAAACAACCAAAAAGAGCAGTTGTCAGCGATTTTCATATCAATACGAGAACACATTTGCCATTTTATAAGCCCGGCCAAAGCCACAAACCCCTCGAGCACATTTGATTGCCACAAATTGGAGGCAGCTTGACAATTTTGTGTGATCGGATTTCGTAAAATGGCACATTTTCACAAATTTTCAAATGCCAAAATCATTACAATGAAGTGGGCTCCCCACGCACAAGGATCAAATCAATTCGAATCAATTGAAAAGGCAGCCACAAAGTATTTTAAAGTTTTTATGAGATGGGTGTTTCCCACCCACACACACTCATGTGTGTGTGTGTGTGTGTGGGTTTGTTTGTTGATATATTATGCAAATTTCAGCTACCTTTCGGTTGGCTTCACCCCACTCATCCCCCAGCAATTCCACCTCGAAACCGTTCATCTGCGGATATCTTTTATTTAGCAAGAATTACGAAGCCAGCGAGAAGGAGGAAAAGCGTTGGGGAGGTGGAAACATTGCAATATGGCAATTCCGTTTCGTTCTCGTTCACATTTGAAGGGTCTTTACTGGCTTCCTTCCGCTTGCCGCCTACCGTGCAGCTGCTGCTGGGACGTCCTGCCCGGTTCAGTTCAGCTTTCAGCTCTCAGCATTCAGCTTTCGGTTCGGTTCGGTTCAGTTGAGTCCGGCCCTGGATGCATTTTGCTGTAAACAAAGTCAGAGATGCACAGGATACAGCCGGACTCGCAGCCGGAATCGGTCCAGTGTTGTAGCCAAACACAAAAGAATATAGGTCATCAGCCATGGGCGAAATTGCGCTAACAAAAGGTATATGGGTACTACATTTAAATTTCAGATACCATCAATCGAATATGTAAACTTTAATGGACTCAGTTCGGTTGGTTAACAAAGTCTGCAGTATTGGATTTTAAATAAATAAATCGAACACCTCTTTGAATATTTATATTAAACAGAAAGCTAATTTTTCCAAGAAAAAATCAAGTGCCCTACTGTTTGCACATTGTCAATCAAAAAACGTAATGTGAAGGGTATTCCCAATTTCATTGGCACCACTTTTATGGAATCATATTTGGTTTCTGTTTAGCTTCACTCTTAATGTAAATCTGTATGAATGTTTAAGTGAATGCTGCTGCTGATCCATTGTTGTCAACATGAATTCACAAATCTATTTCCATTTCGACTTGTCGGTTGTTGATGATGGGCGCTTCTACCCCCCCGCGGGCCCCCCGGCTCGTGTCTTGTTAATCGAATAGCAAATCGTTTGGCAATTTCAAATTTCGCCAGCTAAGCATTAGGAAAGCCCCTCTTTCGCCACATCAAGCCCGCCCATCTATTGTGGGGAAGCGCGTCTTTTTGATTAGAATTTCCATTTCAAAGTGCGCACTGATTTGCTACTTTTATGCGCTTCCAATCAGTGGCAAGTCGAGAGTCAAAGCATCCGCCATTAGCATAACCTCACGGCAAAGAGTGGGTGTGGCAGGCACCAGGCGCCAGGCGCCAGGTGATTGCCAGCTATGTTTGCTTGCCCCCCTTTGACCTCCGCCCGTGAATCTTCTGCCTGCATTGTCAGGATTCCCATGCCCATTCGAATATGCTTATAAGCTACTCAATATGTTCAATGCTTGGTTATGAGTCTTGGGGTTCAGCCATGTGGAGTTTTCAATTTCATTTTCTTGAGGTCCCCTCTGTCACTGTCTCCTTAGTATTTCGCCTTGAGTAGTCTCAATTCCTCGGTGAGATGGAAAAGCATTTGCAGATGGAATTTTATCAGCCCGTTGACGTTTGGTTATTTATCTCAGGCAGCCGCAATAACTTGTTCAACATTATAAAGCTCAGGATTCAGTTAGACAAGCATTGGTCAATGTTAATAGAATGGAAAAGTGATTTGAAAAGAAAGGATATGTGAATCATAGTTATAAACGATTGATGTTTTCTTCTATGAAAAGTTTCCTGTTACTGCGCTCTTAGTCACTTTTAGTTGTTCATAGCGTTATATTATGCTTAAAAAATATATCAAATTTTTCATATGATTCACCCATTTTTAAAGACCATTTCCGTTTATGTCATTTATGGTACAATTTACGGGAAAATCCCTGAGGCAAATTCAGATGCTTGGAGATTTTGCCCGAGGGCCTAAAGCTGGCTTCAACAATCTGTCAGGATAAAGTCATTGTCGTTGTCATTGTTGTTATCCTCATTGTTGTTATCCTGCTGCTGCCGTTGTTTTTGTTATTGTTGTTGCAAGAGCCAAACAAATAGACTCGGGCGGCGAAAAAAACGCACAAACACACACACACACACACACATACTCACACAGAGAAAGAAAGAAAGCAAAAAAAGGCGCACAAATAAACAAACAAAGGAGAGCAAAGCAAACGTCGCTGGCGGCACGTCCGCGAGCAAGGATGCCAGGACTCTTGCCACACAGAGCGGCATGTTCACACATTCCCCCACTGATTTCAGTTGTTGTTGTTGCTTTTGTGATGTGTCCTGCCGCGTTGCCATCGTCGCCAGGCAGCCAGCGTGCGTAATGAGCTTACCTTATGGATAGACAAAACAAGTTGCTGATGTTGCTGCTGCTGTGATGCTTCTGTATTGCCGCTGGTGTTGCTGCTGTGGCAGACTCGGGCGCAGCCAATCCTGCAGCACGCGTCCTGCTGCACAATTGGCAGGGCTGATGGCGACTTCCTTGCCCGCTTCCTGTTGCTGGAGCTTTGTTTTGATGGTGTCTGTCTTGGCGCGGAAATCCGTCGCACGTTTGTCGTTTGCTTTTTCCTCTTTTATTTTGTTTTTGTTGGTTATTCTTTTTTTTTTTTTTTTTTGCTACTTTCTGAATAAATTTACGGCCTCAAGCGCACTAAACGGAAACTGACACATAAAATGCTGTCTGATTTAACGGCTTCTACTGTCTCTGCGGAATATACGATACGTTTAACGGCTTTACGCCTTCGACACGTGGTCAGGTGGGGTGCACGGAATTCGACTATTTTCGATGCATTTCGGGGATTGCTCATACGCAGCGTGGTACGATTGAAACGCGCGCGTTTCCCGCTGAAACAACAGCAATTTGCAATTCGAACAACAACGGCAAATAAGAGGCAGCGGGCAGCAGCACTCTAGTAAATAATAACGTCAAATAATAATAATCGTAATAACATTGGGGTGATATTATGAAATTTCGAAGCGGTTCTGCTGTGTGGGCCGCTGCCCGCTCGCATTATTTATGGGTTGTCCAAACATTGTCTGGCGGAACGTCTTCGGGTGGAATCATGAGTCCCAGTGTCTATATATTAGCACATCTCATCGAAACACAGTATATATAGCATCATTGTTGCCACTCGCATTTGTTGCTGTTGTTTCGTTTGTTTAATTTTATACTATGCGCACTCACGCACCCACACCTCGGATCTCGGGATCTCGGGGGACCTCGTACCGCAGTCGTACCGCTTTGGTCTTTGGCTTTTCGCAGCAGCGATACAAGCGGGCGAAACAACAAGCACAACAGTGGTATCGCTTCCTGCTCTTGATTCGCACTATTTCCTAGGCGCTGAGGCTGAAAATGCGATTCAACGGACGACGGCGGCTGTTGCGGCGTTCAAGTTCATCACACAACGACTGACCAAGAGGAACTGAGCGCTCGTCTCCGAAGCGAAGAACTTTTATAACCTTCCCCCATTCGCCGTTCCCCACGACCCCACCGGCTGGCTGCGACGCTGGCAGCGATGCCGGCAGAGCCGATGCTCGGATGCTGCCAGCTTGGACCATTCTTTGCCAGCCGACGACGGCGTCGTGTGTTGTTGCTTCTGCCGCCTCTGTCGCTGTCGCTGCTGCTGCTGCTGCCGCTGCCGCTGCACCTGATGCGCGTTGGCGCTCTCTTAAACGGACATGGCGCTCTCTTCGGCTCTCGCCTCGCGTGGCGCGCAAAACTGTTGCTGTTGTTATTTAATCGCCGGCACCGCTTCATTCGGCATTACTGGCCATACACTGCCCCCAAAGGGGAGTCCCCGGGATATAAATGCTCTTGCAATCGACTATTTAAAATTTTTTTTGTCTAATTAACCGACTCTAATTGGGTAAGTATTAATGGTAGCTCTTATAATTATGTGAGAAATAATATACACTTTAATGTAAATAGAAAACTTATAATAATATCACTTTAAATATTATGAGAATAAATAGAAAACTTGTAATAATAGCACTTAAAATATTACGAGAAATAATATAAAATATACGAAACATTAAACCTTAGTTAAATAAACGTTAAGCATCGATTTGGTCTTCTCAAAATTATTGCTTGTTGTAAAACCTTCGTTAGATTGATTCAGATTGAAAGAAAATAAAAAAACATCGTCTTTTTACACTTTTGTAAACTAATACATCCCATCAAAAGAAAGAGTGTGCACACTTCGACATCAACAAACGCCACGTTGCACTTCCGTCTGAGGTGTAATGATATAAATCAATTGATCAAATGGGTATGACTATAGCTATCTCCGATGTGTGAACTGCAGTTGCACAGAGAACGGCGGCAAATCGGCGGAGCGTGCCGAAAGATCGCTCGACACTCATTGATCAGCGGGTGTTTCAGCCTAATGTACATGTCCGTCGGCCGTCGCTAACAATTTGCCTGATAGATCACATCAAATATAATTCTGACAATTTGTTGACACTTCTGTGTGTTGTTGGGTCTTTTGTTTTGTTTCTCGTATTTATTTTGGGGCGGTTAGTTGACAATGATTATTTAATGGCAATTTACTCTGGCTGGTTGTTCATGGCGTTATGATTATATTATTGACAGAGGGATCTCTCCATCATTTCTGCCTCGTATTTCTCTCGGCGATTCCCGAATAATTTTAGACGAAATTCGGCAACTGAGTGTGCCGGTTTATGATTGATTTATGACCGCGGGGTCTGTGGGGTCTGCCGCTTATTTATTGTTATTTCGTCTCATTACGCGAAAATTTGTTATTTATTTGCTTTGAATAAAACGAATGAAGACAAAGTTGCCGCGGTACTGCTGCAGTAGAAGATTACAAACGAGATCTTTGTTCACTGGCTAAATTGTTGCTAATTGAAAGCCATAAATGGTGCTAATTGTGAAATCAAGCCTGAACTTTAAATTACTATTAGCTGAAAAGATTAGAACTTCTCTAGGCTGTATATCTTCACTTAATTTTTCAATGTTTGTTAAACCCTAGCATGAAAATTCTTTGATTTACAGATAGTCAATATTTCAGTTTTGTATATGATTATATTAAATCAACCCAACTAATTTGGACGTAAACAAAATCATGACTCATGCATCCTGTTGATTTAGGAAACGCCCTCTTACTAAGAGTAAATATTTTTAATTAAAGTGAAAATGTTCCCGAAGAAGTGTAATAAATTTGTCATCGCAACGGAAATTGACAGTGCAAAATTTTGAGTGATTAGATTCGCTAAATAGAACCTTTTGAAGAATCCGAATAGACAAAACTATCCTAAATGATGATCGATTGGATTATATTTCAATGAATATAACTTTTTTACTGCAGAGTGACTGATTGGGCATGGAACCAATTTTTCAATTTTTTTTTGACTGTTTTTTTGTCTTAGTTAACAAATCGCATATATGTGCGCACCCTTTTATATCAATATTCATTTTATTTGAAATAAATAGGAAGCAGTTTAATTAAAAAGGTTGGATTAAAAATCAAGTACTTAAGATGGAACATTTGACTTGTTTCGACAACAACAAGATCAATATAAGGGCCAAAACTCTGGGAAAAGAAATTCAAACGGTAAAACAAATACAATTTATCAATTTACTCTACGCGTTACGGGTACAATTAGCTCTTCTATTGAAAAGGGCTTACACACGAAGTTCATTCACATTCAAACATTGCCCCTCCCACTTTTCCCATTCAGAACTTCCCACCCTTATCAGAATTTTCATTCACAGCTTAAAAGGCAAATAACAAAAATTATCGCATGCCATTTTTGCCTTGCCTGCGACAAAAAGCAGTGTCTTATCTGAAGTGCTCATTGAATAAAAATTATTATTCCATTTGCAGTTGTTTTTGTTTGGTTGAACTGTTTTTGTAGCCGAGCAAATAAAATGCAAATTGCGTTGGGTTTATTTATAATTCACGAACGACAGAAATAATTAGCTATTGAGTGGGAAAACAAATGACACCGAGCTTTTATCAATGAACCGAATAAAAAAGGGGAGGGGTATTCAGATACATATAGGAAAACCAACGAGGGAGGGGCTCGACTTCATCCAGCTGCCGAGAGTATCGGTTTCAATTTCAGGCGAGAGAGTTTTGTTTTCTTCGATTTATTCTAATATTCTAATTGAGTTGGCGCTACACGATTTCCATAAATTAAATGGCATACAAATTATTTGCATTCTCATTCGATCGGGGGGAAGACGAAGCCAAGTCCGCAGTATAAAAACCCCTGCCCACCGAAAAAAAAAACTCCGGCTGTATTGCAACGTGCAAGTGTCACTGATTTATGGCCAAAGGCGTGTGTGTGTGTGTGTGTGGTGTGCCAGTTAGCTTGTTTTGACCAAGTTAACTGGTTTAATGGCCCAATGCTGGTGGTGGTGGTGGCATACTCACTTGGCCCGCTCCTGCTCCGCTGACTCCGCTCCTGCGGCGCCAGAAGCGGCAGCTCCAATTCCATCGACGGGTTGTCATGGGTTAAACTCACACGCTTGGCCATCGCTCTGTTTATACTTTAAATACTTTGGCTTTGATTAATGGTCATATACTAATTACTGTGATACGCGGAATGGCAGTGCCAGTGTCGTTTTGATTCCGATTTCGATTTCTATTTATACATTAGTTTTAGCAAGAAGCTCACTTAATTTACGACTTGGCGCCTTTTTTACGCTCTTATCACGCTCGCGGCGCTTATCAACCCGGCATTGGCGGGGTTCCGCTGGAAACTGACCAGCTTGGGCGCTCGGGAATAGGAAGCGCACTCCGTTGCCCCACATAAATCACGTTCCAATTAACCGAAATTGGCCAGACGTGTTGGCATTCGCTGGCATTACTCTCCAGTAGTTCCAAAACAATGGGTCAATGGGTTAGCGATAAAACTCGGGATGAGCCACTTGGCGATTGGGCACTTGGGGGGCCTCTAAAACCGGGACTGTTTCTTGGCGCAACGTGTGAACTGAACGGCGGACGGTGGCTAACTGACTGCCTGGCTTTCTGGCTGGCCAGTCGCAAAAGCCCCAGAGTCTGAAGCGATTGGCGTCGCCTTCGGCTGCGACTAACGAAATTTACGATTCAACGGCGACATGCCACTGCAGAAAGTATTATAGGATATTTCACACCGAAGCAGAACCTGGCTGACTGCCTGGGATATTAACACCTAATCAAAAATGTATAGAGCCAAAAATGTGCCATAAAGTTTAGCTAGGGTATTCAGCAGTGTCTATAGCCTAGTGCAATTTATAGGTCTTACGACGTGCTAGGACATTTACTGTTATCTTAAGTGCTTCTATTTATTCAGTTGTTTTATATAAAAAGCTTAACTTCAACATCGTAATCCGACTAATACATTTATTTATTTCATTTATATATTTTTTTAATTAGACACATCTATTATATTAACATATGTTTCTAAAGTTTCTATAAAATGATTTCGGTGAGGGTATTTAAACTTCGATAGGGCGTAATTCCCATAGAGTTTTTTTGCATGTCTTGTTTGTTTTGGTTTTATAATTAACAGAACAAAGATAAGCAGCAAGTTCGTTTATTTGGGGATTCATTAAAATGTATTTACATGTTCATTGATCACTAGTTGCGAACCGAAAGCTCGCATGTTTGCCCATTGAGAAGCGATGTGAAGTGCGCGGGCGACAGCTGAATGTCATCCCCGAGTGAATCTGTGAACCTCATTGAACTCGGACATCAATATTTTTCTTCGATTTCAGGTAGTCAAATCGGTGACAAGTTGACAGGCGTCTTTCGAAATATATGCAAATTTTAAAGAAGCACGCTTAAGTTTGCAAATTTCGAGGACAGGTTGATCCACCTGAAAGAAACCTCGATATTTCCGAAATATTTCTCTTGAATTATGGTATTTTTAACGTGTTTTCGAACGCAAATAAGCTATATTTCTTGTGAATCTTAAGCTTTGGCTTATTTATTTATATTCCAGAGCTATATTTAACTCCGTAAGATGGCGCATTATTGAATTTATAATGAAGTTATTAATTAATAAAAATAATTCAGCGCTGTTAATTTAAACAATTTCAAACGCGCCAATATTTAAACAAGAAGTTGTCATAAAAAGCATAGGAAAATCAGCCTTGAAAGCTCAAACCGAAAAGACAGTTTTTCCACCAAGTTTCCTTGTTAAGCTCGATGAAAAGCTTTCACTTTTCAAGCCGAAACTCACCTCAGCCTCTGGCGCCAAGGATGTTTGCTTTTCCCAGGATACTCGGCCACGGCGAATCGGAGCGCATGAAATGGCAGGGACTTTGCACGCATTAAACAACATCAAAATAAACAAACAATTTCGCAGACAATTGCTTCGAGGCAGTTGGAACCAGCCGCAGCGAATTGCGGTCGAAGGTCGAAGGGCGAAGGACGAGGGGAGGGGTTCCGCAACAAGGTGGGGTGGGATTATCCTTGTGGAAAAGTGCTTTGGTACTTGGGTCGTGTGCCGCCGCAGAGATTCACAGAATGGATTTGCTCTGGTTTGGATGCAAAGCGCTAATCGATAGAAACCAGACAAGGGTCCTGTGTGCTGAGTCCTTCGTCCTGTCGGCTTTTTCAGCAGGGGTGCTCTGCGGTTGATGGCTGCGTCTGCAACTCCTTGACACTATCAATCTGTTTTCTTTATTTGAGCAGTGTGTGAGAACCGTTTGGTTCAATTATGCCAACTGACTGATCTCAGATAATCTTGGGTCGCTCTCTAAAAAAGCTAAAGCTAGGAGAATAAATTTAGAATAAAACTGAACTTTGATTTAATAGCTTGGAGAACTTATCAGTTTTATTTATTATGAAAGAAGTGCAGATGTTTGCCTAATCTAGTGTTAATCAACTTGAATATCAGATTCAAAAGAAAGTAATCTGATTTCAAAGTACAAAGTTGGTTTGATTATAGTTTTGGGTTTTTACTTTTTTCTTAGTTTTTACTTAATTTACGTGTTCTTAGCTATTAACTGTACCAACCGATAGTGGGTCTAATTCGGCGTAAAATGATAGGAATTTATATATTTTTAATTGAGAGTAAAGTACAGTTATTTACTTGATCAGCTCACGTTTTTTTTAATTCTTCCCACAAATCACACAACTAAATTGGCCAACTTACTCAAGGTCAAATTAGCTTGTTCCATACGGCTTAGACCGAAACAACTTCTCCAGTAATACTCTTATATGCAAATCAAATGGGCTTAGGATATTCGTTCTATTTATTTTTGGTTTTCCCACAGTCCGCGATTTCCACTTCCTTCGGTGCACTCGTTTTGAAATGCGATAATTTAATTGTGGTGCGATGACAAGTTAGGGTTAGGATTTGGGTGAGGCTACAAGGGAAGTACCAGTGTGTAGGGCGGTTTTCCTGCGGCAATTGCAAAAGTTAAATTAACAATCGTGTTTACATTGGTTGGTAACAAGATTTCACTTAAGGATGTCAGCTTTGTTGGCGGCAGCACATCCTATCCTGCCGCTCAATCGTTGCGGACTCGAACTCGGCGCCGGATTCGGGCACTTACCCTCCATCAAAACTGATTACTGTCATCAGGGAACGGAGTTCTGGGTGCGAGGGGTGTGCGAAGTGTGCGCCGACGCGTGCGACAAGCAAATTTGTCTGTTAATGAAAAGGTTTGCGCATCCGCCCTGACATATTGTCGGTCCTTTGTTCCCGGGATCGCAATGCTCCGGATTTTCGCGCCTCGGGTTAGGACACGCGACCTGGTCGCCCGGCTGGGCGGAGCAATCCCAACTCTGACGTAGCTAATTTGCGAGCAAACCAAAACATCAAATAAACATAATTCAATTTCAACAATTGCTCCGCGACGGCTGTTGACAAAGACTGCGGCTTCGAGTGGTGGCTGATCTCCATTCTCGTTCTGGTTTGGTTAAATGATCCGTGAAATGTAGCGACCAGCTCTATCTGCCTTGGATCTAATTGCTCTCGTCCTGATTTCACCTCATCCCCTGGGAATCAAATCCCAGTTGGGTCAGATCAACAGGTCCTTGGACCCCTATATCGCACTCCGATTACTGGCAGACTTATCGAAAAGGTTTTATTGAGAGTTTCGTGCTCCATATGTTGCTAAAAATGGACTTTGAAAGGGGGTACATTACGGTAGGGTTAACTGTGGTTAAACAGCTTCCCCATCTTCAGTTTGCCTTTTCTTTTCCTTGCCCATCATCAAAGCTTCCTGCTGTGCGAAATATAATGGCAGAATGTCAAAAACAGGTGAAGGAAGCACAAAGGGAAAGCTGGAGCTAAAGCTAAATATGTGGGGGAGTGTCTGGAATATCTGACTGTCGGTAAATAAGACTTTAGGATTCTCTACCATAAATATTATTAAAATCAAGGATTCGGTAGTAGTAATAACTAGTATACCATTTATTTATTTATTCCTACTAAGTGTTAATTCAAAGTTTAATTTTAAAAATAAACAAAAAAATTCTTTAAAGCATAGTTTCAAATATTATTATTATTATTATATTATTATTATTAATCTTATGCAAAAATCAAACCTAGCTAGCAAATATTATATAGCAAGATCAGAGTTAAAACATCGACATACCAATTATCATAATTAACTGCAATTCCGTATCTACGCCCAGCAATCGAAGGGCAGCCGGAGGCAAATAAGACCAGCGAATTTCCCACAGCATCCGCTTTGGTTGCAGGGGCAGACACCCTGTACTTGACAAGCTCCGCCCATCGAGTTGAGGGCGCACAGGACTGGCTGCAAGGATACTTAGGGGTTGATAAGTTCCTGGCCAGAGTTGTGGCATTTCCAATTGGATCTGCGACACTATAAAAGGCTCGCAATTCCCGGGAGATGGACTCATTAAAGTTTTTAACTTATTGGACAGCGGAAGTGCGGAAAGTGTCGGGAAATTGCAATACATCTAAAATCCTAATAACTAATTAAGACCGAGTGATAATATTAAAAAGAAAATGTCGCGAAATCAATTGCCAGACTCTTCCTCTTCGCCACCCATAAGGTACAGTGGCTCTGCAAAATAACTTTAATAAAATGTATAAACTGTTAAAAAAATTTTAAATGATTTATTTTGATTTAACGCCAACTGTGGTTATAAGAAACAATGAAAGCAAAATAGTTTTTTTTTTTTTAATTTAAATATGAAGAAATAACAAAGCGTGCGGCCACGCCCCAACATTTTATAGACTTTTGGGTGCGCCGTCGGAAACCCGGCTTATCAAAAAAAATATTTTCGTTCTTGGAGCTCATAAAACATATCAAAATTTTTTATGATACGCTTTAATAAGCAATGTTTTTATGGGTTCACTTGTATGTACGTACAAAACATATCACTCTGAGAATAAAAGAATCAGATTTAAGTCCAATTTTGTTACACAGCGTAACAGTTACGTATTAAGTAAAAATTTTTTTAAATCTTTAAGTCACTAATTTGAGTACAAAAGCCCTCAGCTATAAATACTGCTGAAGTTTCTTCGGATCAGAAGGACTTAAATAAATTCAACAATGCCATTTTTCCCCCGCAGTCATTTACCCTTTCACAACTTCGACGATGACTTGATCAACGATCTGCCCTCCTGCATTTATGCGGGCCAGCATCAGGGCGGTGGCGCCACCGGAGGAGGTAATAGTGGATCAGGAGGAGGAGGCGGCAACTCCGGACTGCGACTCAGCTCGAATAATCTTCGGCATATTCAGCAGCACTATATGCAGCACAGTGGAGGTAAGAAACTCCAAAAATATGCCTCTGATGAAATTTGTATTAATAATATTCAACATTTCAGAGAACCTCCTCGATTCGTCTACTAATTCCATGGGAGTCCACAATTCCGGTGGCGGCCAACCCTTGATGTGCAATAGCCCTAGTGCCAGCAGCAGCGGAGGAGGCGGCGGCAATGGAGGATCAACTACTCCAGGCGGCGGTGGAGGCCCCAATCCTGGTTACGGATCCGTGGGAGGTACCACAGCGTCCAGCTACAAAATGCAGCGACAGGCGGCCAATGTGCGGGAAAGGAAACGCATCCAGAGGTCCGCCCCAACTGGGTACACCAAATGGTCTTTTCCATTTTTCAACTTCCTAAAACCCAAGTTATAACTTTGATTTTGTAACTAACGAGCTTTCCTCTTTATTTTTCTTTTTCTTGCGCTTTGCAGTAGCATAAATTCAGCTTTCGATGAGTTGAGGGTCCATGTGCCCACTTTTCCGTACGAGAAACGTCTCAGCAAGATTGACACTCTTCGCCTGGCCATCGCGTATATATCCTTGCTCCGTGAGGTTCTTCAAACTGACTACGATCCTTTAACCTATGTGGAAAAGTGTCTCCGAGGGGAGATAAAAGCTGATCGGGCCAATTGGAACACGAGTGGTGAGTAGAGGATTCGGCGTGAATACCAATGGTCAATAAACTGTTCGCCTTGCAGATCTAACTGCTCGTCTTTCGTGGATCAACTGGGAGAACCTGGGTGTTCATCCCGGCAGGCGAACTCTGCTCACTTCGTTGGCTTTATCCTCGGAACCTCTGTGTGGAGCCCACTGCGGAATGCCATAAGCGTAGAGAGAAAAATTTTAGGCTCAGCCTATCAAAGCTGCTAAAAGCACTTACCCTTTAAACCCAAAATCTTCCCAAAGTCTTCCTTTATGATTTTGATCTCACAATTTAGTTTAAGGCTGTATATATATTTCTACAGTTACTAACAGTTAGCAATAGTATTTTATTTGAAAAGCATGTCGGCTCATCAAGCACAAAATCCACAATGCAATGGGATAATGCAGTTACAAATCAATTCCTCAAATCATATTTCAGGATAAATCTTTTGTAAATAGTATTGAGTATTGGGCAACCGATTCGAGACAAATCGATTGCGGCTAACAGACGTTTTACAGTTAGTCAACTATGTAACAACTTTAAAAGCATTTTTTATATAAAAGTAAATACATGTTTTATCTAGACGTAGACATTTACATAGCTCCCTATCAAAGTACAGATACTCGAAAATAAATACTCCTTCGATCAACAAGATAACTTAGAACACAAACAGTTTGCTGCTGGGTGAAAAATTTGCTAAATGCGCTGCCGATGGTTATGCATGTATATATATGTACATGCCTAATAAGGTCTATATGCGGAAGATATTAACTAGAAACATTTGGCTACAACTTCTACTTAATTGGTACATACATTTGCGGATAAAATAATCTGTTCGGTTCTGTTCCACTTTAAATTTTGCTTTGGTAACTCGATTTGATTTCGTTGGCTAATACTCGAAATGTTTTGGCCTTGGCTACAATTTGGCTATACTGCTAACACAAATGCGTACTATATAGAAACGATTACATAATGCACACTCACAATCATGAACATGAATACAGTGACACGGTTGAACTACTCTCCTAATAATTGAATTTTTCGATTGCTTCTCCAATTTGTTTTTGGTTTTGTTGCCGTTGTTTGATCTGTTGGTCGTAAAGCCCCTCCTTCTGGGCTTTTTAAGCCGGATTGAGCACTGCCACTTTGCGCAGGCTCTCCAGCTCGCTTCGCTTTAAACGTATACTGAACATGGCCTCGATAAAGCTGTGACAGTTTGTCACAATGCTGTCCTGAATCATTGTGTCCCGGAATAAGTTGGCCAAGGCGGCAATGTCGTCGCAGGCCAGAATGGCGTTCTTGTGTGTTACGAACATGGCCAGGGCAGCACGGAAAACGATCTTGTACCCCTCAGAAAAAACACAGTCCCAAATGCGTAACACCGTCTCCACAGGCAGCACCTCGGCAAAGATGCAGATGAACCATTTGCTGGCGATCACCGGATAGGGAAGGCCTAAAAATAAGCAAAGGTTTCAGGTTTATTCAAAATATTTCGTTATAATTTCAAAGATATAATACAAAAGTAAAACTCACCCAAATTATCCACTTGCCGATTCACAGCTGGAATCCGTCGAATAACAAGCTCTCGAAAAACGGCGAGATCCCTCAAAAGATTGGCCATGTTGTGTGAGTGGTACTGGGGCACAATGTTCTCCACAATGTGCTTAAGCAGCCAAAAAGACTTCTCCTCGTCGTCGGTGACGATCAGCAGCAATCCTGCTATATAGTTGAGACCCTGGCAGTAGCCCACGTCCCGGTTGTGGTGGGCATAGGCGATGAGGATATTGTACAGGCGCTGCTTCTTCGTATCGAAGTGAATATTGTCGGGGAAGGTACGAGGTAGATCGATTGATATGGAATCGCTGATTTCCTTGTCGAAGGGACCGTTGCTCAGCAGGTTACGAAAGAGGTCCGGATCGCGGCGCTGGGCAGCGGCGGCGCCGGATATTTTCATCCAGACGTCGGGACGGTACGGACCGGGAATGCCCTTTCGGATGTACCGCTTCAGCTTCGGGTCCATCTGGGTGAGATCGGTGTTCTGCTGCAGTATAGCCTCCCATTTCATTCGACGTCGCGACAACGTCTTCAGATAGCCGTCCATGAACTTCGAGTAGTTACTATAGTCGAAGTGCTCGCCACGCTTGAAGCCATACTCGTCCACATCGCTAACCACGCGCGGTTAAGATAAAGAAAACGGTGAAATCAGTGAAAATAAGTAAAACTCCAGCCATAAACTGTCTGCTCACCTGAACTTTGAACTTGCGGTAGTAGCATCCATATGAACTAATGACTAGAGTTACTATTGCTCACGATAAATAAGTGTGTGTTTTTTCCAGGTAGCTGCCCACGATGATTTCCTGTCAGCCGCTCGACGTGCGTGGCATGGCCGAAAATATATAGGCTTTTAGCATGCAGCGCACGATGCGCGGTTACGTCGTTACTGCTGCTTCTGCTTTTGCCTCTTCCGCTTCTGCTGCAACTACTGCAACAACGGATTGAACTTGTAGTTAGGCGTCAATAAACATTGCCTTTAAACGGGCCCTTCATTTATTTATACGCCAATTTAGCCTTGCGAGCACCGTGTACCTCTGCCTACGCCTCGTCCTTGAGCACTGGGTGGCCTTTTGTGCGCGCCCACTCGTTGTTGTTTCTGCCTCTTCTTTCGAACTGATAACATTAACGGACCGACGACCAAATTGGGTGGGCGGCCGACGCACAGGTGAGGGGTCGGGCAATTAGGGCCGCTCCGCTGGGCACGCACTTGCAGGTGGTCGATGGTGGTTTATCTGGGAGTAGTGATTTCATTGAAGATTACTGGTCCGCTTATCAGTGGGCTTAAGTTGGTTTATTTTTGTTTTTATAGCGAATAAAATTCGCGTCTTGTGACTGGTGAGACCAGAGGCAGGAACTAGCAGAACGGCGGAAGGAGAACTAGTTCAACTTTGCGATACTCGTGATGTGATTCATCGGTAAATAACCGTTGCTAAGTGAAACTAAATAAAACAACACTACAATTTATATGGATGAAAAACAGTTTTTTTTTTTGACAATAGTAAGTGAAAACATAATATTTTTAAAATTTATTAGTTATAACGCTACAATTAACCCCATACCGATGTTTTTAGGGACACACGTGACAACGGTGAACATCTGTTGCACAAATCACCCGTTGCCATATCGTCATTCCGCGCCATGCATCGTCAATCGGTCGTACCGTGCCCTGACAAATTACGCAATGTCTAACAACTGATGTAAAACACAAGCATTTACCTAACAGTTGGCTAAATTCCGTGTGTACACACACTTCGATCGACCCAGCGAGGCACTTAATCCATCTCCGAGATGCTACGCACGACGGCCACGATGGGACTTATGGCGGCGGTGGCCGTGAAAGCGGCTCCCGAGCCCCAGACCCCAGCCTCCGGGGCAGCGGACTGCAGCCTGGTGTGCCGGCCCAGCGAACTGCCCATCTACGGCAGCTTGCGCAAGACAGAGTTAGTGCTCCAGCTTCATTTCGGGTTCTTCCTTTAATCTGGATCTTTTTCGCCTTCCTACAGACCCAAACCGGAGCGACATGAGCCTCAGGACTCGGTGCTACACAAGAATCTGGAGGCCGGAGTCCGTCTTGTGCGCGAGGAGGTCCAGTCGAGCTACAAAGCTGTTTCCGACCAGGCCGGCGTTGTGGGACACTACTTCGAAACGGCCAAGGCTCACACCCGATCAACCATTGACCTCCTCAACGAACCCCAGAATTCCCTTCATCGAAGCGGAGCCATCGTGGTGGGAGGTCTAGCCGGATTTATCTTCGCCGCCCGCGGAGGCTTCATCAAGAAGGTGGTTTACACCGGCATTGGAGCAGGAGCAGTGGCCTCCTTGTGCTATCCTCGCCAGGCAGAGGAGAATTGCCGCGTGGTGTTGTACGAAGGCCGCAAGATCTTCGCTGTGGCCTATAACTTCATCAAGGGCGTGAAGCCGGGCGAGGAGGTGCCCATCGAACCCATCCAGAAGTTCCCCACCTCGCTGGAGGATCTTAAGTTTTTGGCCGGTGACCTGTACGAGGAGGCAAAGGAGCTGATCTTTCCCAAGAAGAAGTAAACCTAATCTAACCCATTCGGCCGTGAAGTGTGCATCTATTTAAGTTGTTTGGAGCTTGGATTCTTTCCTATTATGTGATCGAGCTGGAAGTAGTTATCTCTTTTCTTGTTGCCAGAAATAAATTGGCCTCGCGTCCAAAAGTGAAAACCCCTTGCTGTAACTTCGCTTATGTGTGTGGGCCGTGGCCAGAATCGACACTCACATGGATCTTCGAGTGATTAATTGTTCGGCTGGCCGGCCAGAGGTGTTGGTGTCAAGTCAAATGTCACGCCAGTGAGCCGTTGAAAAGTGAAATCCGGAGGAAAGTGGCGGCGGCAACTGCGGATGTCTCCCATCTCCCCACGTGCAAATCGATTGTGCCAATCATCTTCAATGGCCCGCAGCCGAACATGGCGATGACTGCAAATTGTGTGAATGGTTTTGGCCAAATTCGTAGTGCCCTCGGGGGCCCACAATTGCTGAGGAGGAAATGGGCTCTTATGGAGATGGGTATCTCCTCTGGAGCAGTTCCCCAATGGTCTGTCATATTTATTGGACAATATTTTCAGTAATCTTTTATTGCGCTCGGTGCTTTCGCATCGCTATAGATAAACTTGTTCTTTGGGCAAGATACAAACAACTTTCGAATGTCTGCATGCATTTGTTTACAATAAATATAGATTTAGTTAATTGTTAAATACTTCTATACTAAAATACCAACAACTTGTGGACATGCAAATGACTCTCCATCCCCCTAGTCCCTTCCCCCGATCTGAGCTATTTACAAATAGATAATCCCTTCGAAATCCGATCGATTTCCGTGTTAGACAACTTAAGGCGCTAACATTTTCGCTAGACTAACTTAGTGGGCTTTGACTGTGTGTGTGTGTGTGTGGTAAGTGCGTGCGTGTGAGTGCGGATAGGGGCGTGGCAGTGGCCCACAAGGCCAAGTCGGGGTCAATGCTGTTAAAATTGTTAAATTGAAGCTAACTACGCTTAACATTCCTTTAAGATAAATCACACAAGACTTAAAGATACAACTGATAAATTAAAACAAATAACAAGAGTCGGGCTGTCATCGTCATCTTAATCGCCGTGATTTCCGGACTGATCATCATCTGACATGCTCCAAAATCCAGGGCGTGAACTTGGAGATTCGCGTACAGACTCCCGGCAAATTGGCCTCGGCACAGCCAATGCCCCAGGAAATGATTCCTGCCAGGAAGAAGCGGCCATCCTGCGACTTGGCCTGAACGAAGATCGTTGATTGAGAAGTTTCAATGGAGTTTTTGGGGAGTAGATCTCACCTGAAGGGGTCCGCCTGAATCGCCCTGGCAGGAGTCCTGGCCTCCTGATTCGTATCCAGCACACAGGAATATGTCCGGGATAAATTCCTGGCGACCGGCGCGCATAAACATCGATTTGCATTTGTCATTACTCACAATTGGAACGGATACCTAGTTAACAATGATTTATGGAAGAAAAACATAAGGGATTAGCGTTTCGATTTTCGATTTAAAATTCCTTGGGTAATAACTTTTCTTCTTAAAGGGTTATCCCCCATTAAAATCCCTTTTATGATCTTTTTCTGACGATTCCTAATTGCTATCTCGCCATCACACTCCGTGCAAATGTCCATTTGCCTGCGTTCGATTCGCTACGGTTTTCATTGTCGCTGGAGCTGCAAATGGAGTGATGGCTTGGGGAGAAACACTCACCTCCTGGAGCACGGAGGGCAGGGTGCCGCCCTCGCTGAGGCGACCCCAGCCGGTGACCGTGGCGTTCATGCCAATTAGAAGGCTCTCCGTCTCGGGCAGGCAAATGGGACTGACATGCGGCGCGAATTCGAGCGGCTGCTCCAGCTTGACCAGCGCCAGGTCGTACTCGTACGTGAGGAAGCTGTACTTGGGATGGACCACCTTCTGGGCCACCCCGCGCTCGATGTAGGGCAGCTGCTCCTGCACATGCGAGAAGTCGTGCTCGCCCACGCGGATGCGTATCTGCGAGATGAGCAGGCTGGCGGAAGGATCGGAAAGGGTAGAGGGGCAGAGATTAGCTAGATCTGGTCCGGTTTTCGGGGCCAGCCCTGGGATCCACTCACTCGTCCACGCAGTGTCCGGCGGTGGCTATCCAGTTCTCGTTGATCAAAGCGCCACCGCAGCGGTGGGTGCTGGAGAAGCCGAAGAAGGAGGTGCGCCGCACCGACACCTGCCAGGGCCAACGACCGAAGGGCGCGCTCTTGCCGCCCACGATCCGCGTCTCGGGACGCGCCAGCGTCGGCACTCCGCACTCTGCAATGGCAGCGGTAACAAATTGCATTGTCAGGTTGGGTGATCACAGAAAAGCCAGCAAATACATATCAATTCGGAGGTGTCTCCTCTTTTGCCCAAATTGAATTTCTATCGGTCTAAGGAATTTCTTTTTCTTGGAGGAATTCAATTTTATCGCTTATCATCGAGGAAAAACTTGTTTGTAGCTTACGAAATCATAAGGAAATTGGTTCGGCTTTAAACTTAATTGGATCAACCATTTCCTATTAAGGTAATAAATACTTAAATTTATTCTCCAATTTAGTCTGATTTATAGTAATTGCAAAGTTATACAATTTTGAATAGATAGAAATTCTTTCTTTTCAATTAAATTGTAATTGGGTATTATATTCAGTTAACCACTTTTTTCAGTGTACAATTCCAATTAGGTTAAAAGCGTGTGATATGCAAATGAACATCTTAATTAAAGTAATTTCTCTTCCCCCGTTTAGAGGTACTTAAACTGATTTTTGTGAGTGCAGGGGCTTGGCACTTACCGCTGCGCGCCGCCGAAATGGTCTTCACATGGCCCAGGGCTCCGGAGTCGGCGGAGGAGGAGGCGGAGGAGTCCGTTATCTCGTTGGTCTCGATGCCGGAGGTGGCCAGAACCGGCGGACGGTGCGTGGGCCGCTGGCTGCTGGTGACGACTCCGCTGGAGCTGCTGGAACTGCTTGGCATCGGCCTGGTCGTCGTGGTCGTGGTGGGTGTCTTGCCCGAGGTGCTGGAGGAGCTCGAGGAGCTGGTTATCACCGTGGTGGGCCGCTGGTAGGGCCTGGTGGGCTTGCTCGTCGTGTTCTTCCTTGTCGAGGTGGCCGGTGTGGTTGTGCGTCGAGTGGTGGTCGTCGTCGTCGTTGAGGTTGTCGTCGAGGTGGTTGGCGATGGCCAAGCCGAGGATGCGGCTAATGATGTGCCCGGCGACAGCTGCAAGGCAGGCCAAAGTGGTAAACATTATGCTAAAATACTTGGCCGGGCTAGAGCGGCAAATCATTCTCCATCCCCGTTCCCGTTCTCCAATCTCCATTTCCATTCCCATTCCCATTCCACGCAAAGAATCAATTTTTCATTTCGCCGCTAAATCTGCATTAAGTGGGAAACTCGATTGGAGTTTATTTGAAAGTCTGAATGCCCTAACTAGAGATCTAGGCACTCATCAACTTTTTAGTATGCATCGAATTAAAATGAAGTTGTTTTAATAATACTACTAATTTTAGTAAACAAAATGTTAGTACTAACAGATTAGTTATTTTTTTGAAGTTCGTGATCAGTAAGTTTCGATGGGTAAACGCAAATATAATTGCCTTGTTCCTAGTAACCTTTAATAGCTTCTTTATATGTTCTTTGGAACTAAACCAAATACTTTCCCGGACCTCAAATTAGCAAGTTAAGCGCTCTGTTCGAGGTACCCGGTTCCTGGAAGAGTCCTAAATTCCGCACGCACCCCTGAGAGCGGCAGGCGAATCTTACATCAACTTTTGGCTCCGGCTCCGCATTGTGCAAACAATAAAATGTCCCCCAAGGCTGTGGCCTGCCATTATGGGGCGCTGAAACCGAGGCTGAAGCCGAGGTTGACTGAGGCCCAGTCCCAGTCGAGGAGTAAATGACCTCGTGGCTCGTTTGTTTCGCTTTCGACATCAATGCATCACCAAGACTTCGGCTGAGACTGCTGCTGCGACCGAGGCTGAGACCCAGAACCTGAACATGAACCTGAACCCGAACCTGGGGAACTTGGAACCCAGAGCCTGGACTCTCGTGTATTTACATACCTGCGGCCTGGTGGGGCGATGCGGCTGGGGGGGATGCGTCTGGCCATTCCAAATCAGCGACGCTGCTGTCGTCGAGGTGGTGGACGCAGCAGCAGCTGAAGAAGAAGGCAGAGGAGGAGGAGGAGGCGGTGGTGTCCGGTCGTAGACAATCGGTTTCTTTGTGGGCTTCGACGGCTTCGAGGGTCGCGCGGGCATTGGCAAATTGACGATGCCGGGCTTGGTCCAGCCGGTGGGTCGCGGCTTGGTAATAAAGCTCGGCTCGGTGGTCATCTGCCAGTGGTTCTGCTGATTCTGCTGATGCTGCTGCTGCTGCTGCTGTTGGGTCGATGTATGCCAAATGCTATCTGCGGATGGTATTTGTTTGTTACAATTCCTGCTAACAATGCACCACCGCTGGGCGGGGGCGCCATGTCCCCCCTTCCCTTCCCCTTATCCCTCTTTCCCCTCCACTTACTGGGGCTCGAGTCGGAGCCAAAGGAACTGGAGCTGGGATGCGAGGCGGAGCTCTGCAGGTCCGAGGCGGTGGTGGGCTTGCTCTGGTAGGGCGGCGGATGCGGGCGCGCCAGAGTTCCCTGGTGGTGCGGGCCCGAAGGACGAATCACCAGGGTGCCAGCGCCATGAGGACGCTCGATGGTGGTCATGCCGCTGCAGATTATCAAGCGAAGGGAAAGTGATTAAGTAAATACATATACAAAATTTAGATTTATAGTTAGTATTTTAATTGTACCAATTAGTCAAAAATCAAGTTTAACTGTTTTTAGTTAAAGCTGCTAAATTATGAATTAATTAACATTTTGTTGTTCTTACATGCCTAAAAGAAATTTAATTTAAAATCGGTTTACAACGAAAATTTGGAAAAGGAAAAAATGTAAATTCAACAGAAGTTAATGAGCACTACATAAAATAATAAAATAACATAAATTCTTTAAATCGTATTTGTAAAGGAATTCATTTAAAGAGCTTAGCTTATAACCCAATTATTCTCATGTACAAATATTAACTCTTATTATTTTAAATTAAACCTTTGTTGGTACATGGTTTTTAGCATCAATTAATTAATCGGTGTAATCTCTTACCTGATCATCGGCTTGTAGGGCGGCGGCGGTCGCGGGCGGAGCGTGAGCGGCTTGGTGGGCCTCGTGTAGGAGAAGGCGGTCTGCGGCAGGACGATGTTGTCGGTGTAGTTGTGCGTGCAGCAGGAGCCGAACATGAAGGAGTCGACGCACATGCCCACGTGCCTGCCCTCGGACTTGATGCACTCCCACACGAACATGCAGGTGCCCTCGACGCGCCCGAAGGAGCACGGCTTGGGGCTGATCTTGAAGTTCTGGCCGCGCTGCAGCTGCTGCATCTGCGGATAGCCCTCCAGGCGGTGTGGGCTGCGATAGAAGCCGCCGGCCAAGTCCTCCTCTTCATCGGAGGAGGAGAAGGAGGGCGCCGACGCGGAGCCCAGGGAAAGCGCTTCGAAACTGTCGGGCGGTGTGATCAGCGCCGCTGCCGCCGTTGCCAGGCAATTGACTAAGACTAAGGCTACTAATACTTCTACTATTTGGTCTAGACTGCGCCTGCTCCTCGCTGCAGCAGCTCCTCCCGATCTTGCCGATCTTTCCGATCTTTCCGATCTTGCCGATCTCTCCGATCTTTCCGATCTCTCCGATCTTGCCGATCCTCCTGATCCTCGGTTGACTAGCCAATGCCGTTTGGGACACATCTTGGTGGCTGCCGCTGCTGTGCTTCTTCTGCAAGGAACGGCATGACAGTTTTCGGACATTAGTCTTGTTTCGCCTGCCGGAACCCATCCACCAGAACCCTGTTTGGGCCTCCCACCCCCCGCCGCTTGGCTCCCCACTAATTAAGCGCACTTGTCGCAACAAAAAGTGGCAGAAAATATAAAAAAAAAACTCCAAAGTCAGGCAACGATTTCTACTCTTTATGATTGTTGCTGCTGCTGCTGTTGCTGTTGCTGCAGCAGATGTTGCTGCTGTCGCTGCAGTTTGTTTTTGTGTGTTGCTGCTGCTGCTGTGCAGTCAGTGACTGGTTTAATTACAACTTTTCACTTTTGCTTCATAATCAGCTTTTTTCGTGGCTCTTGTCTTGTTTTATTGTTGAACAAGACTGGAAAAAATTTATTGCGATCGCACGACGACGACGTCAAACGACACATGCTACAATTAATAATTTCTTGTCCCAAAAGCGAGTGCACAACGATGCCCCACCCTTCCTCCTCCCGGTTGCAGCTCATCAAAGCGGAATCGCAGTGGTGTTGGTTTTTTTTTTTTTTTTGTTTTTTTCAGCAAATTTAATTAAAGTTTAGCCAATCCATTGCTGGCCAAATTAGATGTTTGCCTTTATGGTTTGTAACCTAAACTGGTAGCACACATCGTTGCCTCCTGAAGATGTAGCTATTGCTGTTGCTGTTGCTGTTGCTGTTTGCTGTTGCTACTGCTGTTGCAGTTGCACCTGCCCCGTTCCCTCCCCCCGGGTTGTCAACTCACCTGTGTCTGAGTCTGGGTCTGATTAAAGTCGCTTGCTTCATCGGTAACGTGCCGGGCGCATGTCTGCAATGGATTGCACGGAGAATAGTAATAATCAGTATGGTTAGCAGAAGTCGGTTGTTAGAGAATCGTATGCTTTTCTTTCTTTTTTTTTTTTTGTTTTTTTTTTTTTATTGTGCCAAGCTATGTTTTATGCTGTCGAGAATGCCGGGCGGAATGTGCCCGGCTGTAATTAGTGGGCTAACTGCGGGATAACTAACTATATGCGGCCATGCATATGGTGGTGGTGCTGCTGCTGGCGGAGTTGCAGTTGTGCACCGGTGGTTGTGCACCGGCAAGACACTGGCCCACCCACCAGACAACCCACACTCACGAGATTGCGGTATTAGCCGGCCACAGATCGTAATCACAAGATCGCCATCATCATCATGATGATGGCCGCAGGTGATGATGATAATGGGGGGCGGCGGAAGGAAATGTGGCAGGAGTTGCCAGCTGTGCTGACAACACTTTGGGGGCGGAATCGGGGCTATTATGTGACACTTGAAAGTATTATGCAACTCATTGAAGCTGAGATGAAGGATCTTGAGATAATAAAGTGGTAGAGTTGGTGAGCAAGAAGTTAGTGAGTAATGTAGGCTACATTGTAGTGCGTTTTATCTGTACAAGCAATTAAAATATAAGTATATATAAGTTTAAAAAAATAAATGGAAAAATCATCGTTACTTCAATGATGTTTGCATTTATGCATTTTGATCCTTATGATCCTAATTTCCTTTTTGGTTGTTGGTAAAACAAATAAACTGATTATTAATTTGTTTAATATTCGTGCAAAAATTAACGATTTATTATACAACATAAAGCTATCAGCACTGAAATTATCACCTTTTGCGTTGTATATTATCATTAGAGAACCTTCATAATTCGCTTTGAACCTATAATCAAACGTTCCCGAAACTATAATCAAATATTTATTGATATTCATCCAGCGTTTATGGGAAAACGCTGATAGCCAAACATCTTTGATCCGACACACTCAAACAACTTGAGCCCCAGCCAAATCCCGTTTATCGCCTAATCATCTTAATGTTGATTATAATTACAAATCGTTTGAATGCAATTTGATACCAAATACTTTGTGCACATCATTGGCTCGGAAAACGCTTCATGTCCATGTTGATTGAAACCGAAATTGATATTGATGCTGGAGTTGGAGTTGGAGTTAATGTGGCTTTAGATGTGGATGTGGATGTGGCGGTTGCCGTGCTGCGGATGAACATGTGCCCCAAGATTAATTTCAGCTTTGGCCCCGAACATCTGAACATCTGAGCGTCCGAACATCCGAACATCCGAACATTTTCCCCACATCGTGGCCGACTTCGTGCCGAGTTCTCCATGGGCCCCTCGAATCGAATCATCAATTGAGTGGCGAGGTTTGGCCGGCCGAGTCCGACTGCTCAATGGACTCCATTGAGCCAGAAACGCAAACGAAACGTTAGCGCTAGCGCTGGTGCTCACTCCTAATAACTCTATTTCCAATTGGGAGCGGGGGTAAAGATGTGCTTGCCCCTGCCACACGCCGGCTATATGGCGATCCGTTCGGCGCATGAACCGTTGGAAATCGATTTCGTTACGTTTTCATTTCCTCAACGAAAGCAGCAGCAGCAGCATCTAGTTTTTTGTTTCTTCACAACTTCTTGGCCTTCTGTACTTTGGGCTTGGTTATTCTCCTCTTTTTGTTTTTTTCGCAGAGAGCTGGTCAAAGAATACCCGAAACGTAATTACCCCGTTTAAACGCCCCAAAACAGAAGCAGGGAAAAAGTAGCAAGTCGAAGCAGCAACAGCAATCTCTCGTGCTAATGACTATCTTTAGGAGCCCAAAACGAGCCAAAGACGGGTAGCAGCAGCAGTCTGACAAACAGTCAAATGGCCAGACATCGACTCAGGCCCAGACAGACAGAGACTCAAATCCAGCCGGAGGCCAAATAATTTCCCGGCAAAATGCTGCAACTATTAGAAAAATGTTAGCCGAACGCGGCTGCGTCTCAGCATGACCTGCTGAGCTTGGCTCTGGCCAAGAAACTATGCAATACTCACTGCCAAAAATTATCTGGGCCTTGAATTATCAAGGGCAGCATTGGACGGAGAAACTAGAACTACAAGTATCTGGCTTTAATCAGTGTTAAAGTGCAAACGGGAGTTTTATTTGCATAAGGAAAACTTGATAATTGGTTCTGCTCTGGTTTTTACTTTCGTTTGATTTTGAAAAGAGAACTTTAAACTTAAAAGAAAATTTGTAGTTAGTAAAAAGTATTAATAGTACAAAATTTTAAAGAAATTTTAAACTTTATTAATAAAATGTTGATTTAGGTAAACTACTTGAAATGGAATAAATTATACTTTTTTAAAAGAATTGCTGTGTATGGCTGTGTCGTAACCAAAAACTGTTCTTTTCTTTGCAAGGAAAGTCTTAGAAGTAATACCCCCTTTTTGCTCACTGCAAGTACGTGCCGAGTGGCTCAGCTGAACTGAAAGCTGGGCCTGCAGCAGCCAACTTAGTGGAAGAGAGTAATTGTAATAACAATTGCGCAATTTGCGTCAGTCACTTAACTGCCACCGCCCCCTGCCCTTTTCCCCAGCTGCTGGCGTGTGGTAAAGTGAGGAAAAGTCGCAGCCCGTTTAGTTAAAAGCACTCCTGTCTGGGGGCATCGGCATCTGGCCAACTCCAGCTTTGACTCAAGCCATAGCTTCAGTTGCAACATCTGGTATCGGCTTCGGAGGATGAGGAAGAATCTTACCCGGTAGGCGTTTTGTCAATCGACTGGCGATCGACAGGCGACGGCACAGATGACAGGCCGCCCAGGCTAATGAAAAAGATAAACAACTGGATCACACAAGCCACGAGCGACTTAAACAGCCTGACACGCAGCACACTGGTGCACAGTAAGAAATATATACGTACTCCTATATAAAACCATTTTTAATCATTTCTTATTTAAAACCACGAAACGTGATACTTATATCTGGGTAGAAATCTCTTTCTGTAACACCAATTAAGATCTTTAAGTCAAATGATACCCTGAATTTGTTGTAGATTAAATTTAATGATTCAATTAGCGATCATTAGATAAATGATTATAAATATATTTAAATGACCAGCTTTAACAATTTGAACATATCTCCTAATTTCCTTTATTTTTATTTTTTATCATTTTGATTTAAGAGCATTTAAATTCTTCTTAAAATTTTCTTGTTACCCACCTATGGGAATAATCTGTAGATATAAGGTGCTAACTTCTTAACTTTTCTGGCTGTGCAGATGGAAGGGTTTTTTTAGGTGGCAGGGGGCAACTGAAGATGAGGCTGAGCTGGCGGCATCTTTTGAGATAGTGAAAGAGGGATAGTGAGGGGGGAAGGGGAGAAGAGGGGGTTAGGAGCTTGTTATAATCACTGCGCGTAACGCAAACACAATTTTTGAGTGGTCGGCCATGTGAAATCCATTCCATCCATACCTGGAGGCGGTCACTCGATGCTGCTACTAAAACCGGGGACGGGAAATCCGAGAAAGAGAATCTCTGCGAGTGCGAAGTGTGAGTAGTGAGTACCGAGTACCGAGTACCAAGTACTGAGTACTGAGCACTGAGAACAGTGAGGGGGAAAAGTCGTTGCACCTGAGCCGACCGCTTATCAATGTGAAAATCAAAACAGGCAGGCGAACGAGTCTCAAACAGCGGAAGCAACGCCGTAAATTGAAAGAAGTGTTTAAAATCTCGTTATAACTGAGAATGGCTCTAGGAAATATGGAGCTATAGTCCAGCATGATAAATGACAGACATTTGATATAGGGATTAATGGCCAGAAACCGTTTTACGCGGTCGGGAAAAAGCTCTAGGTGAATATTATTTATGGGCATGCACGTAAAAGAGTGTTCTTTTTATAATATTTAAAAAATATATTTTTTCTAATAGGTTATTAACTTTATTGGAGGAAAATGGTTGATTTTATGACCGTTTTAACATTTGTGCAACAAGGCATGTTTATGGATCCATAAACTTGGCATTTCTTTCGCGAAAATGTTGATTTACATTTATACGCTCATAGCATAAAACATAAACACTTTCTAATTGAGTTGTTAATTTTGTTTTCGCATTTTCTCGGCTTTTTCACGATTTTCATTAATTTATTTCGTTAGCAAGCAGTAAATATCACAGGATGCTGTTTATTCCCATACTTTCTTTTCGTTTTAAGCCAGTTGAGTTAATGGAGCGACTGCTGTAACCTGGCGCCTGTTAGCGCTGATCGAAAACTTATGGCAGCGGGGAGCGTTAATTAATTGCGCTTTTGCAGCCTGCTCGGGCATTACGCATACGCAATGTGGAACGCATCCTCCGGCGTGCCATTGGCGGGCGGAAGGGGGGAGGGGCAGCATCAATTTCGGCTGTGGCCGGTCCGAAATAAAAGCAACACGTTTCCAACCTGTTAAGTGTCCGAGACTGGGCCACAAACATAAATCACCGCCGGAGCGGGCAGCACTCTGCTTGGCTTCCCCTGGTTTATTAACCTCACGCGGCTAATGGCCGGCGGTGGCCAGTGGTCTTTTGGCCAATAGCCAATGGCCAGTGGCCAGTGGGCATGGTCAAGTGCTATGCAACCTGTGGCTGCCCCTCAGCTGCACTTGCACCTCCGACTGACCGCAGAGGGCCCCCAGCTGTTATTGTTGTTGGTTTTGCCTTTTGGTTTTGGCCTCGGTATGGGTTTGTTTGTTTATTTGTTTGTTTTCCCTCCTTTCTTCGCCTTTGTGGGCTTTCCCGCTGCCAAAGACAGAGAGATAGAAAAAGACTAGCAGGGGTGAGCTGCGGCCCATTGTCCAAATATTTACTTTGTCTTGGCCAGGCTCAAGCCGCATGACGCTGCAGCTTTTAAGGTCGGGTTCTATCCAAAGTGACTTCTCGTAATTTATTTTCCACTCCGCGGCATAATTAATTCGGTTTTCATTTCCAGTTGGCTTTTCCCCCCATCCAACCAGCCAAACAGCCAGCCAGCCATCCAGCACCTATTCTAAATAGCTTCATTTTCATTTTCGATTTCATAACGGTCGCCATAAGGGCCCTCAACTTGAATGGATTGGTAAATTGAAAGACCTCATTTCGGGCACGATCATGATCATGATCGGACCTCAGTCCCTTTAGGAAGTTACGGCAACACGTGCGTAACCGTAACGCTCCGAATTGGCCGCAAATGAGGGCTCCAATCCAAAGGCAGAAACAAAAAGTAACAGTCTCTGCAAGCGTAACACTTTTCAGCCGAATACCTGGCAAAAATGTTTGAGCCAAAAGTCGTGCAAGCGCAATCACTTTTTGGCCTCGCTCAGTGTGTGACAATTTGACAGATTGAAAGTGAAATGAGCTCGGAGTAAGTGTCCCTAAGTGCTGGCGAAGGGATGGCCAATGGGGCTATCGTTAATTTGCATTAAGTGCACGTTGCCAGCATTTCAAGCACGCCCCGAGCGGAATCCCATGGCTCCATGGCTGCGGATCCAGTGGGTCAATCAGCATTCACTTGTCCCGTTCGCCGACAACTCGAGTGCCAGATAGCAGATAGCAGAAAAATAAAATAAAATAAAATAAAGGCCCTTCGGGCAGATGAGCTGCAGAAAGTTAGAAAAGAAAAGTGGCGAAAATAGAATGGAAAGGAGTGCCGCCGCATCAACCCAACCGATTGATCCATTCACACCTCCAGCCAGACTCATTTAAACTAGATCTTTGGCCCGGCGAAGAGTGTCAAGAGTGTTAATTTCTCTGTCCGGCAATTAATGCTGAAATAATTACACATCTGCCGCTGGATGTTTTGCCATTCATAATCACAGGCCGTTCGCTCATTTATTCACTCGCCTCTTCGGCCATTCATTCATTCATTCAGACGCTCGGTTGGCCGGCCAGTGATTAATTCAGCGATTGCATTCGCCGTCTAGACTTTAATTGCGGTTTGTAGCTGTAAATTGAATCTGTGTTGATGTTATAAAATCAGCTTAATTGGTAATAATCGACGCATAGATTTGGAGCGACTTCTGGTATGCGTTTTTCAGGTGACCCCAACCCGATAAACTCTTCTGTTCTTCTTCTCTCATCTTATTGATTGACTGCGAATAACGTTTATGGTGTAACAATGGAGCCGCTTAGATAACTCTCAAAAGAGGCCATTTCTCTTGGCCCTGATTATACCTTTTGAGTCATTCTTAATTGTCATTGTTTTGGGTGGGAACTTCTTGGCGAGCTCTTGAATAATAATCTTCTTATTCAGCCTCAAGGGCAGAGAACCGCAGCTATTACTTCATGTATGATAAATTCTTAATTTCTTTGAGGTTGAACATAAGAATGACTTGGAGAAGTTGTAGAAAGAGTAAGAAATAATTAGTATTTGTCTTTCTGGAAGCTATTTCTAAAAAGAGTTGCTTCGAAATTCTCCTTTGCATATCAAGTTTGGTTTAAAAAGATATTATATTTCTTTCTCGTTGCTTGTTTTCCTTGTAAAAAGTCCAGACAATCAATTTGGCCAATTGCGTCCTAAGGCCACTGCACTTTTATTGTATAACTACCCCGAAAGCCAAGGTCTTTCCCAATCACCGTAATAATCAGAAATTAAACTATCGCACAGATATTATTTCACCATTTCCCAAAGCGACAGAAATTTTTGTCGCATTTAAATAATTTTGCGCCTGAAGTTGTACAAATGGAATAATGGGTTCGGAAAATTATATAACCACTGGAAGCCGCCGAAAGACGAAAGACGGTCACAGTTAGCTGACTGCTGTGTTGCCAACACTGTGTGGGCCCAGAAAGGCCCAGAGACACCGAAATTGGTTAAGAGCAAGAGGACAAATTTGGTTTTACGCGCAAGTGAATTGCGCTTTATGAGCGCCCGCTTTGATTGCCGCACGATGGTATATATGATGGGATATTATGGGACTGTATATAGTATACTGCGTATGTAGGATGGGATATGGAACTGCAGAGCTGGGTAGCTGGGTAGCTGGAGGGGGCACACCACATACACATTGCAACAATTATTCTGCTCGATGACTTTCGCTAATAAAACGACACACGCTGCGGCAGAGGATTGTCGAATGCCCGAGGTTGACACAACCCAGACGTTCGGATGAGATGACTTCGACTGGGGGTTTTATAACACTCCGCAGCGGATAATCGCCGGCAATCTGGCAGACTCTGGTTTACAGGTAAGACTCGATGCGGCAACTATTGCGAAATTAGAATGGCTGGGCAAATTAAGCGGGGCCAAGAGCACAATCAAATTGGTTGGGAAAATTACACCTGCCAAAGGTGCCGAGCATTTGGGGGATTATAAAACAATTGTTGATGTTAATTTCGTGGTAAATACAGATATTAAGAAAGTTCTCAAGCGTCGAGAGTCGCCAGAAGTGTTTGTAAATTAAGCCTCCGACCTAACGGACGATTCCCTAATTAAGCGACTTGAAAGAATAGAAGGGAGCTACAAAGTGATCATTAAAATATTAAAACCGGTAATATAAGAGTTCTGGAGAGGTTTTCTTTTTGGAAAAATATTAATCCGAGTTTTATATGAAAGTTATTTCGAAAATGGTTTCGGGCCAGAGTCAAGTTTATGCTTTTCTTTATGTACGAATTGCATCGTTAGTTTTGGTGCTAGGTGAAAGCTTAGAAAATACAAAGAATAAATATTTTAACTTACTAGACTTTCAGTTCAGTTTCGGTTGGGCTATCTGGCTGCGATCGTAAAGAGTTCGCCTTGCCTTGAGAGTCTGTTAAATGTTTAATTATCTTATATAGAACGGCCAACTTTTGATGGATTATTAAATTTGATTTGCACACTTTGCCATTTTGGTCACTTGGCGGTATTTCTTTCAAGATTAATCTCTCCTTGCTGTTATTTCGAATATTTGCACGCACAAGTTGGGGAATTCTTGGTCATTATTTTACTTTTTTTTAGAGCCGCGGACTTTCCATCATTTTCATGGTCAATAAAACACATTAAAATCCTCGGTTAATGGCAAGCCAAATTGTAACAAAAATTTCTTTAAGTTTTCCGATGTTTGTATCTCCTTTTGTTTTAACACTAATGTGTTTAATTGATTTGCATTTCACTGCGAAGCCATAAAAGGCTTTTGTAAATATATGTGAACAAGTTGATTTTTTTTCGTTGTGGCTCCAACAACAATCACGGGCCACACGCTTAATTAATAGTTGCTGAGACCTCTCTGGGTTTTTATTTGTTTTCTTTATTGCTGCGGCTCGAACTGAAAATATTTATTTCGCCTGTGATTGAGTTAAGCTTTTATTGCACCGTGATTTTCCTTGGCCTTTATTGTTTTTCACTTTTGTTTCGGTTGATTTCTTTTTATTTTCTCACCACCTTTTCGACGTGGGCGTTTGTGGGCTGCAAAACACAGAAAAAAAAACAGAAGTAGAGCTGTTAATAGAAATGGGCCAACGATCGAATTAGAAATCACATAGCCTAGCATCGATTTTCGGCGCCGCTCTTGGCCAGTCGAAAATTTATGCAAAAAGCCCTCGACAGCCATGTGATTAGGCCAAACACGCTCCGCTCCGCTCGGCGGACCCTATTTGCATTCGATCCGCTGGTAGCCGAACGGAATTGCCAAAAATTGATGCATATCAGTTGGCCGATCAGTTGATTGCGGGGAGTCTGCTCCACCGAACTGGTGGACCACTTGCTTGCCAACTTGCCCAGTTGCCCACTTGCCAGTTAGCCAGTTAGCCAAAGTCCCAAATTGACGGCTATCTTGAGTTATGAGGCGTTATGGAAATTGCATTTTACATTCGCGGACCACTCAAAAGTGACAGTTGAAAGCGACGACGATTTAACGAATTAATGTTTCGTGTTTATAATTTCAGATCTCTGATTCGAAAGTGACAACCAAGGGGGTCCCCTCCCAGCTGATGGTCTTTAAATTCAAAGATGCTTAACTGGGTGAGAGGAACATTATCACACCAGTAATTGGGCTAACAAATTGGGTTTTCTCTCTGCCTCGAGGAAATTAGTCTGAATAAAAGCCACATAAAAGAATCGAACCATTTGGAAAAATGTCTGGGGCTTACAAAGAGCAGTAAAATGGTGAGTTCAACAGAAAAAAACTTAATGATCCATTAGGTTGAAGTTAAATTTAGATGCGATAGAACATGAAGTTTATAAGCAAGGTGGTTTTAACTCTACTCCTTAATTTGCACAAATTTTGTTTTGTCTATTGAAGACAAAACAGACAACTAATAGTTGCTTAACATGCTTGGAAAAGTTTAAGTAATCGCACATCAAAGTGCTCTAACCATTAATTTAACGATTTAAAACGGTAATCAAAACAAATCCGTGGTGCTTTATTCTAATAAACTGCATAATTATTGTGTGTTTATTTATCTTAATGATAGACCACTTAGGGGCAAAAAAGTATTCAAGAAACTGTAAAAAGACATGGGCAAAAAGTAAATAATTTTCATATTATTAATTTTCTTCATAGCAATAATTTGCAGTTTACCACTCGTTTCCCTTGTTTATCTTTTCTCTTTGGCAATTGCACTTGCAACCGCCAAGATTCCTCAACTGCCCGATACCACAAGAATCACTTTCAGCTGGCTCAGACCGCAGCTTCCTGCCCCTTTTCCCCCTTTTCCCCCACTGACTGGTGGCTCATTAAATGTGAATTTGCACTTCTTTGCCGCTTAATGGTATGCTTCCTTGTGGCACGACGACGACGACTACGACGAGTGGAAGTTGTCAACGGCCAACAATTAACTGGTGCAGATCCCCAGGCCGCTGGCCAGTTAGCTCTTGGCCATGTCCAGATCTTTTGTTGCCAGCCCCTTGCCTTAATTGTGCCAAAGTGCTGCCAATTTTTATTGCCGACTTATCGCTTGATTTTTACCCCTCCCCATCTCCCCGTCCCCTTGCACCTTTCCACTGCCTCTGCCGTGTTGTACTTCACTTAATGAATCCCGTTAGGCGGTTGCAGCCACAAGTTGATTTTTCGCAACGCATTCGCAGAACAAACATCAAACTGTTGCCTGCTGTTGCAAGCTGAAGCTGCTGCTGCTGCTTCTGCTGGGGACTCCATGGAGCGCTATCAAAACTAATTTATATGCAAATGCAGTTCAAGTAGCTGCAACAAAAGACAAAGTCAAAGACTTTGGAGCGGAGTCCCTGGTGGAAAATTCACGGCACCAGCTTCGGTGGTGGAAAAGCCTTCAATAAAAAACAGTGGGAAGTGGGCAGAGTTCTGATCTGAGTTCTTCTGCATTCGCTGCACAGCAAGAAATGGGATCGTTGTGGATATTATATGGCAAAATAAAGACCCAGAGCGGTTTAAGATATAGGTTAAAAGATAAACATTGTGAATTTTTCTCTAGTTTAAATCCATGTTAAAGGAAGAAATCAAGGAACTTTATTTGGAAATTCGTTCGTTATTTATATTCAAAATTTAAAATACTCGATGGAGTTTAGAATTTTTCCAAAGTACACTCTTTGTTTTTAGTTCGAAAACTTTTTAACAGTTGTATAACTTGGATTGTTTTTAAATTTTATGACGGCTAAAAATTTAAAAACACCTAAACACGTATTTCTTTTTGTAATTTAACAACCAATCGAAATGAAAATCACGGAGTTTATTGAAAATATCCACAGTTTTTCCCATGTGCCCCTCGTGCTCTCTGTGCGAAAATTCTGGCGAAGAGGCAAAGAGCCAACACACACGGCATGATTTACCGTAGAGAACAACAAAGAAATTAATTAACTGCACTTGTATTAGATGCCTGTCCGGCCAACTGCCCGTGTAGTGGTGAGTATCTGTGAGTGAGTGCATTAGCTTGGCAGTTAAATGCCTCGCGAGCAAGTCGCCCAGCCCGCGAGTTGGCATTTGACAGTGTCGGGAGCAGGAAAAACTGGCTGCCGCGGCATTAACTCACTTTGCATTTGCAGCTAGCTGAAGTCGAAGCTGAAGCTGAAGCTGAAGCTGCAGCTAAAACTGAAACTGAAGGCGAAGCGTTTTTCGTTGTTCTCGCTTCGTGATTTTTTTTTTTTTTGTGTTGGCCAACAAGTGCCAAGTTGAGCGGCGATGGCTGTTTGCATTTAGCCGGGACTGCGACTAATTAGTGCTCATGTCGCCTGCCAAAAGTTATCGACTGGCCGACTGGCGGAGAGGTCATTATCCTGTCTAGCTGTTATCCTGCTGTCAGCATTTGCTGCGGCCGATAAGGCTTTATTTCTTAATTAGCAGCCAAGTGCTCCAGTTTGTGGCACCCCTCGGGGTGTTAATTTCAAAATCTCAACGCGTGCTGCAAGCAGAAGTTGCTGCTGCTGTTGCTGCTGTTGCTGCTGCAGCAATGCGTTGACAGCGAATGCAATTTGAACTTGATGGCCGGCAACGTGACACGCATATTAAGCAGACTCCGGAGCTCCGGTTTTGTAATATATGTATATGCGGCGATGTCGAGGCGGCGCTTTAAATACGCACAAAGCGGCCTCGCATGCGCAATTAGTCGTGATTGAGTCGCAAGTTTGTTTAACCATCGAGAAGAGGGAGCACAAGATGAAGAAACTACGGCAAAAATTACTTCGAACATGGGCACGAACGTGGAAAACTCTCACTTTTCGACGGGACTCTCGGTCTTCTGGCTTTATGTCTTAACTGTTTTTTATTTTTCTACCATTTTGTGTAATTTTCGATTAACAATTTCGATTAGGTTTTGCGTCTTTTTGATTGATTGAAATGTCTTGTCGGTTTCGGTTACTTCTTTTTTTTTTTTTTGTTTCTTGGTTTGATTTTTTTTTATTTTTTTGTTTGTGGGTTTCTAGCCGCTGGGCTGAATGTTTAAGTGTGTAACAAAATTAGGCACCTTTTTGTGTATTTCTTCTGGTTTTTAATTCGTTTTCTTCAAGAATGAAGCTGCAAGTTGGCGAACCGAAAGGCGAACGGCAATCGGCAAATAGCAAATATCAAACGGCGAACAGCAAACGGCAACTAGCGAAATCGAAATCGAAACCGAATCCGAATCGGAAACCGATCTGAACCGCACTCGAGCGCTGTGAAAAGCAAACTGCGGCCGGCAAAGCAGCAGCCAGCGCATAAAACTGCGCCAGGTGCCAAGAGAAGAGTTCGTTCCGAAAGAGAGCCGAAGCCAGAGAACCGAAGGCGCAGCACTAAGCTCCGAAGAGAGATTTATGACGGACAAGTTTGTGCCTTAAGTCTTTCGTTTGAACAGCTGATTGCGAGCTCTTTGCCTGGCAAATTGATAAGTGCACAAATGTTTACGGCCGCGGCGACCTCGACCCCCCAGGCTGACTGGCTCACTGGCTAGCTGGCCGCCTGGCTGGATGGTAAACAAATAGCCCCTCGGCACACACACACACACACACACCTATTTGACCATCAATTTGCGACCGAATGTGCTTTTCGGCCACTTTCCCGCCCATTCCCACCGGAGTTTTTGTCACAGCACCCGCGCCTTCTGGGGTGATTCATGGATCACCGATTATTTAATCTCCGTATTAGCGCAAGCTCTTTTATTTTCGACGCGAGTGCGGTTTCTGTATTGACTCACCGACTTTTGAAAGTGGGTCAGTGTTAAAGATTTTTCGCCTCACATTTGCTGGGCTTTTTTTATGAGTTATCAGTATAACTGTTACATAACACTGAGTGCAGACTATTGTTGCCGGTTTTTTTCTTTTGGGTCCAGTCGATGATTCAGATCAATTCGCGCCTGGATGCTGAAATACTGGTAGCAACAGGGGCTTTCATTAAGGCAGATATTTGGTTAACTCGTGGGTCAGCCATCATTGGGGACTTTAATGAGTTTTCCGAAAAACATATAAAGCTGCCAGCATAAAAGCGGAATTCAAAAAGGGGAAAACGCCCAGGCCACTCTTTGATTTGTACCATTTGGGCTGGGCTTCTTCCAATAAACACACTTCTTGAATGAGCACTTTCTCGAAATAAAAGTCAACCATAAATAATTTCCGCGAGTAATTATTTATCGCCACACCATCGGCAATCAATTATGCTGCGAAGGGCATGATGTACTTAATCAGAAACACAAGTGATGTTTATGTTTCTCCTGGCAGATCACTGATCACTCCAGATTACCGCGAATCAATACGATTTGCCCGATGCTATCCGCCAATACCAATCAAATTTAGCCTTAATTGCCAATAATCTCTTACGGCTAACCGGCTTGAAAAATTATCACTCGAACATTGTAAATGGCCTAGCAATCGGTTTAGTGCAGTTCAACGAACGTTGAAACGCTGGATTCTCGATCGACGATCTTGGCGAATTGAGGAGAAACACTCATTCATGCCTGACTGAGCGCTGATAAATGGATCTTCGAGTGGATTCCTGCACCGCAGAGCAGTTCAATGACAGAATACTCAACACTGATCGTCGATCGTCGACGGCTGGGGATCGTGGATCCATGGGATCCTACTACTGAATTACTCAGACGTCGATTGAGCCAAGATCATTTAACACTGTCATCGCTAAACGATCATAAATCAGCTGAGAATGAAGTTGTATATAGAAGCCAATCAAGGGTGAACAAGGAAAATAAGTGAATTGTTATCGGGAATAAAAGGAGCGAAAGTTGGGCTAATTGAACGATTTCAAAAGTTCTTCGAAACTTGGAACCTTTTAGCTTTTGATAGTTATTTAATGGTCGCCCGCTATAATTATAAAAATATGCATAGGTTTTCGTGGCTTATAAACTTATCCGCCACTAATTTAGCTTATCCGGCTTAATGGGTCTGCTTTAACGCTCTTTCCCTCTGCCCACATTTTTTCCATTTAATAATTCCAACTGTTATGGGTCTGCCAATTTAGCCCGAAACTAAAATATCTCAATTCTGCCATAAAAACTCCCCATGACATCTTTTTTTTTACCAATATTTAATTTGGCTCTAAGCGTTCGATGTAAGCCGAAAATCGAATTCCACCTTACTGACCCATTTAGTCGGCTCTCAACCCCGCGGCTGGCCAGCAAAACGCAGCAAGTGGCACTCTTCCACTGGCGAACTGGCGAAGAGGTTGCGGCCAGTGGCAAGAAGCGAGGGAAGAAGAAGAAGAAGATAAAGAAGAAGAGGGAGGATGGGGCAGAGCCAGTTGGACTCGACTCGCTGCTTGCGACTTGATTAATCGTTTACACGTGAATCAAATCTCGAATCGTTAATTTAAATGGGTAACACAATGGCCGGGGCTTGAAACAAAATGCTGCCAATATATTTGCCAATTATGCTGGCTGCCAAAGATGCAGACAAAATAGGTTTACCAGTACATTAAGAAAAATGGTTGATAATCTTTCAGAATTAGACTAATTTTAGGAAAGTCCTTTCTAAATGAGAATGGGTTCTGAAAAAGTTGGGAGCATATTGGAAATGAATAACTTGTCAAGTAGTTATTGACAAATTAAATAATATTCAATAGATATATTTTATATTTAAATACAACCTATATTTTAATCAGAGCAATAGCCTAAGGGATCTATAAAATGTACTTAACATTTATAGTTAACTTTCAGTCGATTCGAGTGTAGGTTTGGTTTTTAGCATCCTGTCAACGCTTCTCTGATTGACATTTGCATAATATGAACCCACCGGAGATCTCGTGAGCCGTGTGTGAACTACGGGCTTTTGGGTCTGGGCTGGTTCAAAGTGAAAGTCCGTGTCAAGATTAATGGGTCGCAATTTGTCATGCCAATGAGGCCTCACTCCACTCCGCTTCACTCCACTCCATCCCACTCCACTCCACTCCGCAGTCCAATCGATAGAAGAGTCTGGTGCTCTGGTTAAGCCCGATCTTGGCGTGCACATCATGTCATTTTCATTCGGAATCGTTTTGTGCTGTCAACAATGCCACAAAAGCGCTGCAAATGACATGTACGAACTCAATCGATTATCGAGTAGGAAGTGGAAAGCGAGGCGAGTTTGTGCCTTGAGTCTTTCGTTTGGGTTCCGCAAGCAATGCGAGAGAGAAACGGAGCATCCGATGGCGCGCCGGCTAAAGCCATTGGAATGCGGTAATTAATTAAGCCAAAAGCAAGAACTGCCAACGGCAGCTGTCGAAGAATTTTTCTTTCATTTCCAGCTGGAAAAGCCAAGTAGCTTGGCGGCAATGGGCAGCAAATGCAGCAATATGCAGCAATAGGGCGACGAAGGGTGGGACATGGTGGGCGGTCGATTCCCGAGAATCCAAACATTGCATGCATGAAATGAGCGTAATTATTAAGTACAAGCCAGGCAGCTGGGCACTCAGTACCCCCCTCCCCCCTTCCCAATCCCCCTCCTCCACGCCTCTTGGCCATGTCTTTATTTAATAGTTGTGTAAGTATTTTTCACAGCAATATTGAATTTTCCGCACACACATGTGACATGGGTCAGTAACCTAGAAATGAAAATAACACCTTGCTGCGGCTGTGGCTGTGGCTGCGGCTTGGCTGCCAACTGCCATAAATGTGGACGGAATGGAGATGGACATGGGATGGAGCCGACTCTGGGAGCTCTGAAGCTCTGGATGGCGTTGGATGGCCATGGAGCCTCGCTGCAAACGAAACGAACCCACCAGCGACCCCCCTCCAATGTGTGTGTGTGTGCTAGTGTGTGTGTGTGTGTGTGCGAGTTTGCTAACGTTTCAAGACCATATCTATATCTAAGCAAGTGTACGGCAGCCCAGGAGAAACACTGGCAGCACAACAGAGACGGCGAGAACCTGTATGGAGAGACAAGACCATGGCCAAGACCAAAACCCAGACCAAGACCAAGCCAAAGACCAAGACAAGACCCAGGCCGAGCCGAGCCGAGCCACATCTCCAGAAAATTTGTTAAACCGCAGCAGAGAAATGTTGAAAACATAAACCCAAAACCGCAAAATGTGGCAAAAAAAATAATACACACACCAAGTGGAAAACCAGCAGCAGTTGAGGCAGCAACAACAATACAAGGAACAATAACAACAATAAAATGGCAGCGAACTCTGGAGGCAAATTAAATTAAAAGCACTCACAAATGTAACCCTAAACATTGTCTAATGGCCAAAAAGAACACAAAAGGCCCAAAATGTGTGGCAATGCGAGGGAATAAGCATCCAAATGGGAATGACAACAGGAAGCTCAAGTTGGAGTTAGGGAAACCGAAGTTTAAATGCTCTCAACTATTTATTTTTAAAATTTGTAACCTAATTTAACTATGCTTTGGAAAAGGTAGTAAAGAAGAATATATTATACACAAGAAAAACAACTCTATATCTATATGACATTATTTCAATCTTTATTTCAGTTTTAGTAACCAATAAAAACATAGCAAGTTGTTAATGATATGCCATAATTTAGGCTGATTTTTAATTATACAGAGAACCTTAGATGAAAGCACACGTTATACCAAACTTTATGATATTTATGGTCGTGGAAGATTCTTACGCAAGTTTTGTTCTCCTTAAGCAACCCTATGATTAATGTCCAACTGGGGTCTATTAATTATATTCAAGTTGTTCTAGTTTTGATAAGACCAGCTCTCCCCAGAGCCCCCATCCCATGCGCTAGACCCCGAGATCGGGGGACAGGTCGCCAGAGTATAAGCCATATAGCATATAGCAGGGGGGCACTGACTCTCTTGGTGAACTCTTAGTCAGAGGCAGACGGTCACAGTCAGTTAACAGTTGGCGTTATGATGATATAATAAACAATGACGATCCCAGGCAAAGGAAGAGGGGAATTGCTGTTGCTGGTGCTGAGACCGGGCTAGAACAGATAGATGGGGTAGATTAAAGCCAGGTCATGTCAGGGAAAACGGAGTCAGCAGTCAGCAGTCAGCAGTCAGCAGTCAGCAGTCAGCGCTTTGGCATGCGTTTCATTTTTGGTGTTTGGGGGGAGCGAGGAGGGGAACTCAAACAAATCACCCAACAAACACCAGCGACTAGTGTTGGACGCAGATTAATTTCAGGTGACAAATTACACATGAATTTCTAACGGCAGTCCAATATTTATGGGAATCTTCCCCAACCCCCTGCCCCCTTCCCCTTTCCCCCTCCAATTCCCGCCAAGAGATGCG